ATAGTTGATAATTCAACTAGTTGAATTTTCAATGATCAGATAAAGAGCGTTACGTTCGTTGATCAACGTACACCTAGTCTACAACGCTTTAGTTTTGTCGTATAATACAATAATACAACCAGTTAAAAAGTCGACGGCTAAACGAAGAACGCACCGTTCATCTATAAACATGTTACGAAACTGCAACGCATAACTTTATCTGTATAATACAATGGAATTCGGTTGTTTCCATTATTAAATTTTCATGTAACTTTGACAGCTGAAATAATTTAAACTCTAAAGTCAAAGGAAGTAAGTAAATATTTGAACACGCGTATCTAATACATAGGCCTTGTTTAAATACATGTTAGACTTTGTTTGTTTACGTTAATCCCCGATAGATGGTGTTATACGATTTTTGACATGGCGGTGTTAAGAATTTTACTACTTAGTATAAGTTAACTTTTTCTACTATAAGTGATTTTTAGTCTTTTTTTGCATCCGAATTATATAGTGATTCATTAATTTATTATTTTAATTAATTATTAATTAAATTAATTATCCTATTACAGAAAAATTTCATAATATTTATTTTAACTGTATGTTTAAAAAACGGCTAAGTGAAGTGCGAGTTGGACTCGCACACGAAGAGATCCGTACATACCATTATAAAACGGCAAAAAATTAAATCTGTTGTATTTGTACGAGAGCCAACTTGAGTATTTATTTTATTTTAATTTAACTGTTTATTTTTAAAGTGAATACGTATATAGACAAATCTTCGGTAAATATTTCAAGGGTCTACTCGCTGCAAGTATCGATATCGAGCAAAAACATTATTTTATTAAATAAAAGCAAATATTTATTCTGTTTTTAGTATTTGTTCATTATTGGCAAAAGAAATGAATCTTATGTGAAAATTTTAACTATTTATCTATCAAGGTTCATGAGATACAGCCTAGTGACAGACAGACGGACGGATAGCGAAGACTTAATAATACGGTTTCGTTTAAAATACAAAACCCAAAACAATATCTAATTAGAATACTAGCGCTATCTTTCGACAATAAAAAATCATAACCAGGTACAGATGATCAACAATGTTTACTTTTCAATATTGATATACGGTTCAATAAAACAATTAAAACCGTTAAACTTCGTCCAAAGTTCGTACCCGTTGACGTAGTTCTATATGTCAACTATAGTTAAAATCAACTAGTTGATCGACTAGTCGATCAAGGTCCATGAACGGCTTCGTTTCGTCGACAGAAAATCTGTCAACGACCCATCTCTACCGAGAAGCGATGTCGAAACAAACTAGATCACATAGGGTCATGAAATCGGCAAAAATCTTAACACCGCCGACTAGAGATGAAAATAAACAACTCACAAAGCGACATCTATCCTACAAATGCAGTATTATTACCTACCTTTATTACTTTTAGTCATGGAGGAGTCTACTCCATGCTTTTAGTGTACTGCCAAAGTTTATGAGAAATAGACGGATTATGAGACTTTTCTTAAGAATTTGGAAGATAAAAATACATCAAGTGGAAAAAATATGAAATAGTATATTATATTAATCGACTTTTCTTGGTGCAAAAAGTGGCAAAATCTACGGTCTCACCCATATGACGAGTCCTCATTTTCTCTTAGATTAATACTCAGCCCTATCTAGATCAAAGTAACAATAGACAACCTTCTATATCGTGTATAAACACTGAAGAAATTGAATTCTTTGATATAAACGCAATGACAAGAGTGTTTTGATGAGAAATGTTGAGTAAAAGTACAGTATTTTGTATTTAATAAATAACCATTATTTATAGTTTTGTTTAGAACACATATACTTAGTGTATTATTTCCATTATGTAACATCAAGAAATTATCAAGTTTTACCATCATAACTAGGTATATGCAAAATAAAACCATACCTATTACGAAAATAACCATCACCTGTTACAGTTTATTAATAATTTTATATTATCAATATACGTAATTTCATACATTAACTATAGATCGACTAGTCCATCAAGATCCATGAACGGCAACGACCCATCTCTACTAATTGATGTATACCCTTAATACTTCAGCATACTGAAATATCAAGTTTTAGAAAACTCTTGCACATTTTTATCATGAGCTTCTAGGTTTATAAATACATAAATAACTAACTAGCCGCCAAGTTGGGTATGGGTCGTCTCCCATATATCACATTCAAAATGATGTAACTTAATAAATCTTTATCTGTTGACATGACTACTAAATACATTTTGCAAGATTTGACGTATGTAAGCTATACATAAAATATTAGCTCGTTAAAAACTTTTTTCTTAAGCTAAATAATATGTTAGTTTAATAAACAAGGTTTAATGTCAGAGTGAAACGCTAAAATTACGATTTTAGTATTAGTCCAAATTCATATTATACAGAGTATAAGCTAACTTATTACCTTAGCTTCTAGGAGTAAATATTACTCCCGTAGAACCTATTACTGCTAGGTTAACCTTTGATACGTCTGTTTAATAATATACACTGTAAGAGTGGTATAATAGAAAATAATGCAGGTAGTAAAAACTAAATAAACATATCAAACCAGATTGTATGTATATTTTATTTGGCACAAATAATTGATTGGAATTATTGAACAAAATGTTCGTTCAGTAAAAATGGAAGTCACTGTATGTGTAATCATAAATTGACTTTTCCATTTTTTAATACCTAAGTTATTGTAGAAGTCATAAAATAAATTAGTCTATAAGAAAAAATAGGTCACTATACATATAAACAAAAATTAATAAGTGCCTATATTATAGATCTTTAAAAAATATACATAATACACAAGTGAAATTAACTAAATACTTTACGCTAATATCAGGGTAATTAATTACATGAATACTTCAATTTTAATGTACATAAACTATATTAGTTAGTTAAAACTCATAATAGATATTTATTTTATATTAATACATGACTAGGTGCATGCATATCACGAATTAGATCCTCTTTTGTTTGTAATTGATTGTATAATCAAATATATTTAGTTAGTGTATATAAAATTTGGCACTGTTCAACAGTAAGTTTTAATTAAGTAATTTCTTTTACTTCCTGGAATTTTTTTTTCTCAGACTATGAGGTATATCTAACATTATCAATATTGAATATCTAACAAATATAAAAACCTTAACTTCATTATTATTTTGGTTCGATCACTCCAATAAAATATTTATCTTAACATCGCAAATGCATCTCAAAATTTGCTGATGAAATTTATATAATATTTTACTATTTAAAAAAAATATTTCTAATAAATTATTAATATTCAATTCCTTCTTATTTTACTAAAAAAAAAATAAGAAGCGTCGCAAAAATGTCTAGGGACGCCGTAGTGATAAAACCGACATTTACCGTCACTAGACCCCGTATTGAATGTGCAATTTGGTAGCTGGAAGTTTATAGAGATGGGTTAAACGTCCAGCTACCAAATAACACCCCTGATAACTAGGTATACTTATTACTATTCATATAAGTATTTCGTATCCATATTGTATGACCGTGATCTATACAGAAGCTCTCTCGATGAGATCGGCGGCGAGTGAAGTGCGAGCGCGTAAAGTTCGCGGATGCGTTGGGGCTGCCAACAGAGCACCCTCACACTGCTTGTTACCCAAACAGTTGCAGGAACACACCTGCAAATAATACAATAGGCACTACTGTCATAATGTTTAAAACTGCAGTTCACTCGCGTAAATTATAGCCTATTTCATTTCTCGCGTGATGTAGTGTGCATTGTGTAAGTAAAATAATTTTTAATATCGGTCCAGTCTATTCGATGCAAACAAACAAACAATCAAAATCTTGCTCTTTTTCTTTTCATAATAGCAAAGAAGAAGCGTTGTATTTTACATGCATTATGTATGTAAGATATAACGCTTCTTAGTTCGTTTATACATTGTTATACTGTTATCAAATCACCCTAAGTAAATCAGTGCTATAAATATAACTTATTTAGAATTATTATACTCACAACTCTAAATTTACTAGGTGGATTTTAATGTAGCTAAATAATTTAATACCTATTACTTCATGGAACACAAAAAAAATATAATGCTATAATGCTTGATGCTGTTTTGTGAAAAGTATTTTAAAACTTTGATCATGATTATATTAAACCACTATCAGACTGAATTTGCTCCAAAAAGTGGTATGAAATAAAGAAAAAAAAAATTTAAGGAATCATTATTTTTGCTCTTAGAATGTGTTCCTGGATATAAATAGAAGAGGATTTGATAACTAAAAAAAAAATAATCAATACTTTCGTATACGGTATATTGCTAAGTCTATGAAAATTAACATTATCAAATTTGACACATTGCCAGGTGTTATATTTTAATCAAATTTTAACAAAAATATAACTGCAATGAACTTTCGCATGACAGCGCCAAAAAAATTCGCTGTAAACTCTTAAAGCGATTGAAAAAACTATATTTTAATCTATAATTTTTATACTTGAAACCCCTGCGGTGTAGTAAGGTGAATTATTGGGCATCGCTGTCAATTAGTAGTTCATTTATAACAATTTTGTTGCGTCGGTGTTAAGACTTATTTAACGGAACAACAAACATTCAGCAATTGGTTTCGCGCTATCCCGCCACCAGAATCAGAAGAAAGAGCGGTAATGTTAGTAGTAGCGGGGATTTCGGGATTTACTAAAGCGCGGCAGATTAATATACAGGGGGATATCTTGTACCCAGTTAAGTACCTGGACCAAGTATGAGCCCTATATAAATGGCCGCCCGGCAAGGACGAAGGATCAGATTAGTAAAAAAAAATTGATCATCTGAAAATCTCGAGCGCGTCAGATTAAGGTAAGGCGAGCTAGTTAGTAGTTACATGCTAAAATGTGTACATACCACTAATATGACAATTTGAGAGTAACGTAAAGAAGGGGAAAGGCTAAAAGTTGTAAAAAAACGTCACTTTGACATTCTCGAGCATGGCTATTTTTTTTTTTTTATTTTGAAGGTAATCATTCAAGTATTACGAAAAATATATAATCTGACGATTTTCACAAGCCGAAGTAATAAAAATTCATCGATAAGATTTAATGCGTGCAGCTACGTGATACCTATATTTCCTTCTCCGCATCACTATTTCTCTCTCTTTTTCTATCTATTACTCTCTCAATCCGTCCCCACTCTGGTTTCCCGTCAAGATGATTCTAGCGATGAAATTGATAATTAATAAAAAATACTGCAAAAAAAATAATTTTCATATAATCATTTTCTTATAAAATATAAGTATTCTACATAAAAAACATCTAATTATGGTCACTCGTTTGCGTCACATCCAAATCGTCTGATTATTATATGAGAGCCTTTTTTTGAGGTTCACTTGAATCACTCGGTTATTTTTTTTTTTCTTTTTCAACCCTTACTTATAACCACCCCCATCATGGAAACGATCAAATTAACATACGACAGTTTTTAAAAATGCGTAGGACATGGATGATATTAATATCTAACGCGCTCGAGTATGTTCATTCATTCATACAAAATTTTTTTTTTACATTTTTAAAAATCTATAGCCCCTTCCCCCACCGATGAAAAGGTATACCGTATATATTATATGACTTTTTTTTGTTATCATTAAGCTTGGCAATCTCTATGACGCTCGAGTAAATCCCGATTTAGCATCGTGGGCTCCCCTACTAGAGTGCATATATGGCCATTTTCTGGATTATGTGGGCCAATCCCGGCGGCACTGCAATGCCGGGCCGACCCGTGACGGGAGTGGAGCGAGCCCCGAACATCCCATCGGTTTACAAAAATCAGTTTAATATACTGGTCCCTCAGTGAGGGAACTTTCAGATATTAAGCTGAAAAGAACAGATACTACACTTTGATCTTAGCCAAAAGGCCGAGAAGCGATGTCGAAACAAACTAGATCACATGGGGTCATGGAATCGGCAAAAATCTTAACACCGCCGACTAGAGATGAACGTAAACAACTCACATAGCGACATCTAACGGTCTTTTACTTATAAGACTATAGTTACCGAAGCTTGGTCGTCATGTGATCTTTGGCGACTGGTGATAACATGACCATCTATTGGTAATAATGTTCTTGAACCCTCTTTTTCTTCATCTCGTGCATTTTCTTCAGCTTGCCTGTTATGAAAAAGGTCGTTAGCATAAAATAAATACATCACATATCACATACAACAGCACGTTAGGTTATACAAAACTGTATAATTTCTGCACTTGATTTTAAGCCTTAATAGGTACATTTACAGTAGAGTTTTACTCAATTGTGGAAATTTGACATATTGTGGTAGTTTGACGTGCAACAGTGTGTACATATATGATTCAAGTTACCTTTATGGCATCATTTTCAATATTATTTTTCATGGTTATAAAACAAACTAGTTTAATATCATTGAATAATAACAATTCTTTATTTCTACTTACATAGTCATAAAGCGAAGTACTAATAAGTTGATGCTAGCCGCCACTACCGCCAAACCGAAGAGAATAAACACAAGACTGAGAGCCACATAGCCAGGTTTACTAGTTAATGCTTGATCATTCTATAAAGATGAAAAAAAAACTTGTAGGTCTGCTATTTTTAGATATCTAAGATATAAACAACATTTCAAAAACTATTCGTTTTACTTCATCTACATTGTGACATTATACAACGCAGACAAAATATAATGGTTTATACATAACTTTATCACTATCACCTAAGGTATATTTTTGTATAGATAGTAGATATTGGGGGATCATGATAGTTCTGTGTTAGTAAACTTCGTGTTATAAGCTCTATTTGAAATCATATTGATTAATCCTATATGCTTACTTGCAAAGCGACGTAATCGCCAAAACCAATTGTAGTGAGAGTAACAAAACAATAATAAAAACTGTCAAAGTAACTCCATCCTTCATATCTTGAGAAAACGGCAGCCCCTGAGAAAAAAATAAAATTATAGCGCAGTAGTGAGTCTGTAAAGGTAAAGTTAAGTGAACAAAAATGAGTGCTGGCTACATTTGCAGTTGTTAATGTCTGTAAATCTGCAATGAGTCTGTCTTGTATCCTAGTAATGACATAAATAGGCTGATGATAGTTAAAAGTAGTCAACTTTTTACAGTATAATTAAAAGTAGTCGACTTTTTACAGTATAATTAAAAGTAGTCAATTTTTACAGTTAAAATATGTGAGGGAATATATGCATTCTCAAATTACAATTACATTTCAAAGCAATCAATTGCAGATAATTATATATGGTTAGGCCTCGAATATAGAACACCTTCGGCCTTACATTCAGAGTATCTGAGGCCTCAAGTTCAGAGTATCTAAGTCCTCGATTTACTAAAGATACCATACCAGGGCATAGGTGGGATTAACTTGAAGGAAAATAATGATTGATAGGACTGGCAAAATGTTCAGTGTGCCATGCTGCACATAGACTGTGGCCTTCAGTTCTCATCGTCATTAATATACTACACTCTAGTCAAGGTTTTAATATGTTAATAATTTTACATGCTGCCTTATAGTTACATTGTGATACTATAAAGACATATAATTGAATACCTGTGGTAATTATAATAGACGATAGCATCCCAGTGGCAAACATGAGGTTCATCTCAGTAGCCTCAGTGGTGTTACAACGCAGGTAACACTTAGCTCGTCGGATCACCACCGATGCAAATTTATTTAAACGCTCACCTATACTTTGGAACATTACTAGCCCAAGTGGTATGCCAACCTATAAACAAACATTAATATAGAAATTATTTTTGTCATATAAAAAAGCCCACACCAACCATTTCAGTGATGTTTCTATTGTATGTCATTAATAAAGTCATACAACCAAAAAATATTTTTACCTTTTTTATCATTTAGAAATAAATTTTAAGTGTTAGTTTCATACTCACAACAGCATAAGCCATGCAAAATGCCTTTCCTCCTACAGTTACTGGAGTTGAGTGACCATATCCAATCATGGCCAATACTACTGTAGCAAAGTAGAATGCACCAGCAAACTTCCATTGTGGACCTGCTTTGTGAGGCTTGTTTTCTATTATAACTATCTCTATCATGTGGTAGTCCTCCGGTGTGATATTGTATTTGCGGACTAACCCATTTTTCATATCTGCAAAATACATATGATTAACAATTCGATTTAATCATTTTGATTACAGTATTTAATACACTGCAATCAATAAAAGTTTAAGCTAAGCCCAGAAATACCTGTAAGGTGTATATCATATGACATAATTATTGAAAATGTTGAAATGGCATCAATACTGATTTTGTTTAAAAGCTTATAGTGGGTTGATAGTATCAGGGATATATCAGTAATAAGCGAGTAAACCCTATAAAATAAGGAATTTAATCTTTTTCATGAAATTCATAGAAGGCAAAGTGTTGTTGCATGAACCTGTAGGATTCTATAAATATTACACAGGCCCAATGCCTGCAAGCGAACCAATGCCTTTAAATAACAAAGTAATATCATCAATGTAAGATTTTAAAAAAATATAGCGAACTTTGCATATGCCGTGACGAAATAGAAAACTTACCAGATAAAACTTCCCATCTCTTGCTTTCCGTTTCCGACTCCAAGGCATCAAACACAGCAGCACCAATTAATAAGTACGTGAACGTGCAGACAACCAGCGATAATGTACGCACGTTTTGTCTTTTCATTTTCATTTGTAAGCTTTGAGTGAAAATTAATGTTTGTAGAACCTATTATTATAAGTTATGAGCTATTAACTCGCATTGTATTATAGCGTAATTACTCAAATTTTGAATGAAGTAATGTCTTAGGATAAAAGTAAAGTCGCAAAATATAGAAAAGCGCGAAGGCTTGGTTTTCTATCTACATAGTACTTTTTGTATTTTCATTATTTTAGTTGAGTATCATTGTTTATTAATTTATCATTATAAGAATATAATTTTATTATAAAAGTAAGCGTTTTCTAAGTAATCACTATTTAAAAATTTAAATACGTGATTCAAAAAGTTTTATGGAAACAGGTATCGATTTTTGAATTTGACATTGATTGATAGAAAAGGGGAAAAGGATATTACGTAAACAAGCACCAAAGCTTGCTAGTTAAAAAAATGCACATCCGTATAAACAAAATGATTTTAGTTATACCAACCAGGATAATCGATATTGATTTGATATGCATTAAAATTCATAGATTATACGTAATACTGATTAAAGTTATTCATTATGTTAGATTAAATTTAGATCTAGACTCCGCCTCGTTTTATATTTTTGCTTAGGGCTTCTTACTTAATCTTTATATGGATTGGGTAGTGGATCATTAGTCTTGATTGTAGGATGAAGATACTATTATTGCGTTCTCAATCATATCGTAATTCGTCATTCGAAAGCGAGTTTTAATAAGGAGTAAAGAACATAGATTTATTATATTAATCACAAAACCTCTTTAACAAAGTCGATATATTTAGTATTGAATACATGTGTACATATCCTTAAGTCAAGATTGAAACTTAGCGGCTTGGCACTAGCGTATGTTTACAAAAAACTAGAGATGTGCCGAATATTCGTTTCGTATTCGGTATTCAGCGTATTCGCCATCTTTTTCACTAATCGTATTCGACCGAAATATCCGGTTTGGTGCCGAATATATTAGGTTCAAGTATTTCTATTTTCTTGGCTTGGCTAAATAAATATAGCTCAAAAAAAGAAATATCTATTTAATAAACTAAAGTCGATATAAATATATAATAGAGATCTGAAATAAAATAAAAGGTAAGTAAAAATAAATATATACCGTATGTTTATTTTACTATTTATAATTAATTTAATTAATAGTAAATTATGGTGCAGCAACACCCAGCTCTCAGCTCACTCCAACAAAGGTTTGTTAGGTTTTTAACCATCTTCAAAATCAGAAAGGTGGAGGTTATATTATATGTTCGACGACGATTTTTTTGTGTATGTTTACCGATTTCCCGCAAATTGTTGACCAATTTTTTCATATTCAACAGCTTGATGGGTCGATGTGGTCCCATTTAAATATTATCGAAATCGAATCAGTAATTTTCCTTTTATAACAATACGTAATATTGCTTATTTTGCATTCATTCAAAATTCGACACGAGGATTTTTTATGTTCAACAAACAATATTTTTTATGTAAGTAGACATTTTAATTGATGTCTTCTTAAATTATGACCTAATTTATGTTAAACTAGATTGATTGATTGAATATTCTTTATTGCACTATGAAATACAGTAAGAAAGGTACATGAAACTAGATACAGTAACACAAAAGGCGGCCAATAAGGCCGCCTTTTGTGTTAAGGTAGCAATCTCTACCAGGCGACCCTAGGCTAAAGGAAACGATACAAATAAAGAAAAATTAACTGCGGGTTAGTGCAATAGGGGAAACAACACATGAGAACGTATAAAGTGCAAATACATAAATTAAACTTACGATAGTAAAGTAATAAATTGGAAATTCAAGAGGAATAGTCCAGATTGAGGAAATATTCTTTTATATTGAATGAGTTCCGTGATTGCGCGCGTCTAATATCTATAGGCAGAGAGTTCCATAGTTTGATTGCTTTAACTGTAAATTACTTGGCTACGAAATCGGTACTGTGGGAAGGCGTAACTAAAGATAAATTAAAGGAAGACCGCAGATCTCGGGTTAGATTCATAGAGTGAAAGAAGAAGCGCTCTTTGAGATAATGCGGTGTGTGTGGGTGAAACAGGATGGAATATAGAAGTGATAGGATAGATGACAGTCTCTTCTACGAGAGATAGGTAGCCACTGAAGTTGGGTACGATAATCAGAAATATGATCATACTTATGTAGACCAAAGACAAAACGGATACACAAATTCTGAAGTCGCTCAAGTTTATTTAGGAAAACGACACTTAGGTCTGTATAACATGAATCAGCATAGTCAAGCAAAGGGAGAAGAAGTGACTGAGCAAGAGTGATTTTAGTCTTAGTCGGCAAAAGATTTTTAAGTCGCTTAAGTGAGCTATATGCACCAAATACCCTCCTACTAACCTCTCGGACATGAAGGCTCCAAGACATATTGCAATCAAATATGACACCAAGATTTTTTACAGACTGAGTAAAAGGTATACGATTGCCGTTTATTAAGATAGGTGCCGTTTATTAAACTAACTGTTTCCTCGTGACTTTGCTTGCGTAAATTATAGCTTATGTCCTCCGAGTTTTAAGTAGCATTCTGTAGGTGAAAGAATTTTAGCATCGGTCTAATAGTTTCGGAGCGAATAAGCAATTAAATCTTTACCCTTTATAATATGAGTATCAATTATTGAAAAAAAATGATGTCGAAGAAATAAACAAAATCTCCTTTACTACTATTATATAAAAAAATCAATATCACTAAAAAGGGTGAACCATTTTTTGTTTCAAAAAACAACAGGTGGGGCAAAATTCCCGCTACCATTTTGATTGCCCGTAACTTTACTCAAAAAAAAAAAAAATAAGTAAGTTTGGTTATTCTTCATATAGGTTCCCTGCTTCCACAACTTTGTTCGCTATATAACAAGGAGTATTTAAAATCACTCTGTTTAAATAAAAATAATGAAATGGTAAACAGACTAATTCGGCCGAATATCCGGTTCGGTAAAAGTTAAACCACTATTCGGCGTATCTCTACAAAAATATCTATTACGTTACTACTATCAAGTAGGACGTTACTGTAAAGATGAAAGTCGTTTGCCTATCTAAGGAAAAATAAAAAAAATGTCAATGTCATAAATAACTCTCTTAGCCTTTTGCGGATGCAGACTTGTGTAGAAAAACTAAGAAATTTAGATTTTTGTAGTTAAGATTAGTTATTTCAATTAGTCAGATTATTTCAATTACGTTACAATGAAAATTGTTTGCAGTAAACTCAATCCCCATCTTGGTACTTATTTCAATCTATTATAGGTTACGTTGTATCAGTTTTAGAACAAGTCTGAAAATAGAAATTTGCTATATTTTCAGGTGGTTTACTGGCTGTAGATTACTACAGATCTCTTGGAAAAAATATAGACGTAATTTGGGGAAATGAATCAACTGTTACCTTGCTGGAAGGCACTAAGAAAGTGCCATATGGGACAAACAATGATTTGATAAGAATTCTTGAGAATGAGTTTAATAAAACAGCGCAACCTCTTCAGAAAGTTACCATGAACCATTGGTTGTCTTTCAGTCTTGTATTGGATGATGAGATGCCCAATTCTGTTGAATATTTTGATAAAACATTAGGTCCGCTTACTTATTTAGTAGGAGAAACATTGTCAGTCTCTGATTTGGCTGTTTTTGCAGTTTTACATGGTATGTAGATTAATATTTTTAACATTTTGAGATTTATTTTAATCTAAAATATAGTAACATAAAATACTTCTTATTTAGTTTCTAGCAAATTCAAGGAATTATCAAAAAATAATCCACCAAAAAATATATTGCGCTGGATGAAATTGATCCAGGCTCAACCTGCTGTAGCTAAGACTCTAAAAGAACTTCCGGGAGAAATATTAGAGACTCTGAATAAGAATGCATCGAGGTTAGTTATTTTTAAATTAAAAGTAATTATAATATTTTTATTCAGTAGAGATATATTATCTTTTAATATAAAAAATTCATTAGTTTAGTTTTTATTATTTTAGGAAATTACCTTCAACAAATACAGAGCCCTCTGCACGTCAGCAAGAAGGAAAATTTGTGGAATTACCCCATGCTGAGATGGGCAAGGTTATTGTGAGATTTCCACCTGAGGCATCTGGGTATGTACTACTTTAGAAGAAAATTATAGTACTTTTTTTAATGTTTATTAATAAAAATTAAATGTCTATATAGTAATAATAAAGTAATATAGTAATAAACCATCCATAAGGAAGGCCTGAGCCCCTGCAGTGGGGACGTAAAAGGGCTGGTGATGAATAAAATCATAGGACCTATTAATCATTAAAACATAGATTTAACAGGAGTATTAATAATGAGCCTGGCAGTTAGTGATGTAGAAAGAAGAATTAATAATACTAACTGATAATATTCAATGACATTAAGTTTACAATGTTAGCATATCATTGTGCAATCATGTATCAATTGAAGTCTTGGTTATAATTATCTTATAATGGTTATATTTTAATTATTATAATTCATCATACTGGTCAGCTTATTGATGTTTCCCTTGTGGGAGAATAATTCTTCCTTGACACCTGGAGAAAACATCTCATAAACCATTTTGCAGGCCTACAGGACTTAAATACATCTCAATCAATTGTATATTACAGCTATATTATCTACCTAAGGCCCAATATTGTGAGTTTAATGTCATCTTCGTAAATCCATGGTGACAGATGTTTGTTATCTTGTAATCTAGTAACAAGAACTATGCCCAAAATGAGTTACTAAACCTCTTTAATTTACTGTAATAAAACTATCATTAGCAGAATTAGCATCCTGGAAAATTGGGTATTAATGATGAAAAACTGCTTAAAATATTAATGTTCATCATCTTTTTGTTAAATCATTTATCACTTATCTAATCTTAATTACTCATTTACATATATTTTCATTAAAGTATGTAAAGATTGCATCAAAAGTTCAAATCAATCTTACTCTAACCAGTAAGTGTGCAAGGTTGGATTTACTGTTTTTAGTATGATGGGCATGTGAGGTAGACAGGTAAACGATACTAAATCTAATAGCCTATGGTGGTGCATCTTTTCAAGGTCCAAAATTACATATACATTGCAAAAATTTGGTAATAAAATTATGTGTGTAGGAGGTGCAATATCGAGGTTCTGCCCTTGTTGAAAAAAATTGTAAATCTGCACCTGAACACATATCTTGTAATCACCTTTATAGAAATGTGAACAGAGCACATCACGTTACTACAATATAGGTATGAAATGATTTTGAAAGTTGATAGATGGTATAACCTAACATGCTCTTGACTGTACTATGCTTGTTGTTATAAGTAAATTCATAGTAGTAGTGGCCACAACCTTTTTAAAAATCTGGATCTATTGTTGACAGAGTTATAGATAAGCAAAATAAGCTGTAAAGGATCAATTTATAAGTGAGTTATTTGGGATATAAAGATTCAATAATATTCTTAATCAAAAATCCACTTGTCCCTGGCACTCTGAGATGGGGAAGATTGAATAGTTTAAAATTTCTTATCCAGTAGATTTATTAATCTCTTTTCCTTTGAGAGATTTATTTTGCATATATGTACTAACATGCTTTCTGAAGTACAGGCATTAAGATATAAAATATTAGCATTCATATTGGTGTTACGTGAGAGTTACTAAATCTTTGCAATCACAAAACAAATTAATAAATGCATGTGTTATCTAGAAATGTATTTATTAGTTATCATCAACTTTCTTGATAGGAGACAATATATCTTTCGAAGCACAGATGAGCATAAAAAAACATTTTTAATCTCTGCAAATGCAGACAAAGATAGATGATCTCTGCACCATATATCCACTCCCTATATAAATATATATCAATACTTGTTATATTTTCAGTTACCTTCACATTGGTCATGCCAAAGCTGCGCTTTTGAATCAATATTATCAGCAGGCCTTCCAAGGAAAGCTCATTATGAGGTTTGATGATACCAATCCTGCCAAGGAAAATGCTGACTTTGAAAAGGTGAAATGAAATATTTGAATGCTTTAAATTTGACTGTTACAATAATGAAACACTATGTATTATTGATTTTGGAATACAAATTTAATAATACTATTCTTGAATAGGTTGAAGCATGTGTTACGCAATTTCGAATTTAAAGAACTTTAAAAATAAATCACTTTATTTAAATTAGTCCTTTATAAGTATATACAGAAAAATATGAACATATGTGATAAATATTTCAAACAACCACAATATCAGTACAGTGACAATAAATGTATGAATCAAATGCAAAGGAACAGGCGTTTTAATAATTAATAGAATTACTTATTCATCAGTCGTTTTCATGTGGTATTTAGAATTAAAAAAAAAAGAGAATATGTTGATTAATAGATTTTTATTATTTTGTAAAACAGGTTATCTTAGAAGATGTAGAAATGCTTGAGATAAAGCCTGACTTATTCACACACACATCCCAATATTTTGATCTGATGCTACAATATTGTGAGAAACTCATCAAAGAAGGTAAAGCATTTGTGGATGACACCCCAGCCGATCAAATGAAAGCAGAAAGAGAACAAAAATTGGACAGTAAAAATAAAAGCAATTGTAAGTTCTGTAATGTATCCTATGTATGTATCCTAGAATGTACTCTTATTTTGATGGAAGAAGTGGTCTTATTTTTGTACACAATAATATCTTTAACTTTTATGACAATGACAAATAGTTGTCAGTAACAGGCGCTAGTGCTGGAGTTGTGAAATTATCGCACTGATTATACGGGGTACATTGTGTCTTGGTAGTCGTAAATCATATTAACACCAAAATTTACCTTCAGTAACACCACCATTTACCTCCATTTCAGAATCAGTTATTAACCCTATATGAACTCTGCTTAACCCACTTGGCATTATTTGTTATTAATTAGTTGCTTATTTCAGTGTCAAATTTAGATCTACTAATAAGCAGTAATTAATATAAGTTCTGTTAAATATTGTGCAGTATTACACAGAGTGAATGTTTCCACTACAATTCATATTACCAAAGTGTTTATGATAAATAAGCAAACAACTTGTTTATCCATAATATCATTTGAAATAGTTATGTTCACTGAATGTTTATTGCTAACATTTTAACATTAACATTTTATTGCTTATTAACTACGTAGACTTGCAACAAAAAAATCGTGTGGAGTCGCTCTAGACGGATTAACTTCGTCGGTGGCCCGCGGCGGCATCAGGATCGGACCTACAACTTTTTCCAACTGGGCAGACTCTTGATATTGCGTTAACTTCCCCCCCTTTCGTTTTGCAAAGTCGCCTGCTAAAGCTTCGAAACATGGACATCAAAAAGATAGGCAGCACAACTCAAATTTATGACTTGATCAAGGGAATTTCCATTCCATCCCCCCCTGGTCCTCCACTGGCTCAAGGTATTTTAAATTATAGTAGTCACCAAGTGCAAGATATTATGATTACGATATAATATACAGTCTTTAAATAAGTGACTTATGTGCGAGTGTTCTTAAACATGTTTGATGAAAATCGGTTGAGCCATTTAAAAGTTGTGGGTGGGGGTGGGGGTCTCAAATGAAAGCGCACTGAATAAGAATATCGATGACTTAATCGGGTGTGTTTTTAGCTACAGTTGATGAGAAAATTATTTTAAAGAATTGAAGAGTAATATAAACATTAAGTAACAATTATTAGTCATAGAAACAAAAACTCGTAATTAATAAATAAAGTTAAATGTAATCTTTACCTTAAATATAAATTTGAAAATTTTCGACAAGAATCTACATTATAATAAGTATGTAGTATGTATAAAAAGAATAAAATAAAAAGATTTAATAAGAAATTTAATTAATCTTGTTTTTGCAGCCGTAGAAAAGAACTTGCAGTTATGGGAAGAGATGAAGCGGGGCAGTAGGATTGGTGTGCAGTGTTGCGTGCGCGCTATTATAGACATGCAGTCACCCAACGGCTGCCTACGTGATCCTACCATCTACAGATGTAAGCCGGAAGAGCATCCACGCACTGGCACAAAATACAAGTATGAAGATTTTTTGATAAAATGATTTTTAAATATGTACTATAAAGTGATTAGTGCCAATAATTTAACGGCATTGTGTAATGTAGTAGTGAAAAATGATGACTATATTTCAATCTCTGAACCGTAAAACCTTTTAGATATCTGAAACCATAACGCGGACTTAATAGACTATAGTTTCCTTCAATTCACAATGACTTATTCTAAACGAGGTAGTCGCAAGTCCTTAAATAGATGGGAGAAATCGCTTTAAATGTTAAGCGTGCTAAATGTTAAATTATCTAAATGATTTTAATTTAAGGTTTTTTATAATGTTAACAATAAATAAATATCTATGTTTTCAACATTCTTTTGCAGAGTCTACCCGACCTACGACTTCGCGTGTCCAATAGTAGACGCGATCGAAGGAGTAACCCACGTCCTGCGCACTATGGAATACCATGACAGAGATCCACAGTTCTATTGGTTTATAGATGCATTAGGTTTAAGGAAACCATATATTTGGGAATACAGCAGGTAGAATAGATGTTTTTCTAACAGAATAACTCAATCGTAAAATAAGTATTATGTTTTTTAATAAATGAAATGTCATTTATACAAGTTAATCACTTCTTTGTTTTTAGACTCAGCATGACAAACACAGTGCTGTCAAAGAGAAAGTTAACTTGGTTTGTGGAAGAAGGATTAGTAGACGGATGGTGAGTTCTTAATTGTATTTATAGTATTGCATACCATGAAAATTATTTTCACAATCAATTAAAGGAGGTTCAATAACATCATTTTGAAACTGACTTTAATTGCGTTAGATATGTTGTATGAAATAACAGTCACATTTTATTATATATATTAGACGTGAAAACCTCCAGTGTTTTTATTGAATTTTGATATGTGAAAACTAATTTCTTTATTTAATTTAAAGAAAATCTCGCGCTTATTTTATTGTTATTACTATTTCATTTTAAGATATTGTTTTATCATAGCGCGTTATGGAATGTTACACTTGCACTTTAATTTTAGAATTCTGTCATGAAGTTTTAATATTCAGATTGATGAAACAAACGAATGGTATGGTAATTTTTTTGTCGTATATTGGACATATTCCTCCCCCAATTCCTAGTGCGATCTGCAGGTTGTCTTACGCATCCAACGTTTACTGGTTGTTTGAACAATATTGTTGCACCATCTCGCCTCCTTGGTTTCCTGCTGTACATTTTTGCCCGCCGCGTATCTTTTGGTTTCTAACGTCCGTCCGAGCATATCGTTATGTGGACAGCCAATTGCCACTAACTTAGCCACTCGCTTCTCTAACACCAGCACGCGTAGCATGACAAACTCGAGAAACGCTTTGTCTACACTCAAATGTCACTTTCTCGGGTCAAGAGTGAGATATCGTATAGGCGCACTCGAGAAAAGTGACATTTGAGTGTAGACAAAACGTTCTCGAGTATGTTGTGCTACGCGTGCAGTAGAGCAATTCTGGTAATGTTAGCATAATTATGGAAAGTCAATAGCGCCTCAACTGCAATCCTTTACGACCCAGTTTTAGATACTAGGTCACAAAATAATAAATATACCTGTTATTAATTGGTGAGGAAGACATTGCATTAATAATATTGGACTTCCGGTAGATAGTACAATGGCAAAATGCAAGTAGTTGAAATTCTATTATTGCGTAAAAATTAGCAGAATTGAGACCTTATTCGTTGATGTAACTTGATATATCTGACACGATCATGAAGATATATCCGGATCATACATATTTTCTTGGCTCTTTGGGTGACTTTGAACCTCCGCATTATGCCATGTCCACCATGCGTTAGCTTTGGGAGGATGCACTACATCGAAATTTCACGGGACTAGAATGGACGAAAGGGTAGTATAATTAGCATGCTTATTGCAGGGACGACCCACGTATGCCGACAGTACGCGGAGTACTTCGCCGCGGAATGACGGTGGAGGGACTTCGACAGTTCATACAGGCGCAAGGCTCCAGTCGCTCCGTTGTCTTTATGGAGTGGGATAAGATCTGGGCCATCAATAAAAAGGTATTACCGGCATTATTATGAGAAGTGGTGTATTTATAAAACACTGACCAATTTAGTATTGATTAGATTCTCGAAATATATTACTTACGTCAAAGTAAAATTACTTACGTTATGTTGTTAATTGCTAAAATCGCGAATTTAAAAATAAAGTGTTGTTAACAAACAGCTTCTAAAGTTTGCCAATTTTTGTAACTAGGTCATAGATCCCATAGCACCTCGTTACACTGCTTTAGAATCGAATCCAGTCCCGGTAAACCTGAAAGGGGTGACGTCAGATAGTAAACTGACGGTTCCCTTACACCCAAAGAACCCATCAGTTGGCTCTAAGACAGTGTGGGTGTCGCCGAGGCTATACATCGATCAAGCTGATGCAAAGACCTTGAAAGAGGGCGAGAACGCCACATTCATCAACTACGGAAATGTTATGATTGATAAGATTCACAAGTGAGTACGATTCGTCTTTCTATCCTATTCATTATAGCTGACTGAATGGCTATGCATGTGCATCTTAAGATTAAAAACCCAAGTAAAATATCAATGCATCAACCGACAAGATCATACAGTGTTTAAAAGCATCGCAAGCTCTAATTCCCTTTAGTAGGGCATAAGTGCGTTAGTCGTAATCAAATTACTCTGTTAAAAGTGTAAATATGGCACACTTAAAACGCTCGATCTTTAAAGGAGGCGAGATTTATTAATAAAAAAAATAATTGCTTTCATGTATTTATATGATAATGGTACAAATATTAAAATAATTTAATCAGTATGATTTGTATTACATTTCTTATGTCAGTTAGGAGAGGTTTTCGAGTACTTTGTTTAAATTAAAAAAATATGAATGTAACCAAATATCTGTACTATTAAATTTATTTGATGTACTTTTAAGTATGATTAACATTAAATCACGGGCTTAAGTGTCTTATGTTTTAACTATTCCTATTTAGATCAAAACAAGATACCGTAACTAGTATAGACGCAACTCCGAATCTGGAAAACAAAGACTACAAGAAGACTCTCAAGTTGACGTGGCTAGCCGATACTGCACATACTCCGCCTGTAAAGACGTACTGTGTATACTTTGATCATATCATATCCAAACCGTTATTAGGCAAAGATGAAGATTTCAAACGGTACATCGGTCATCAAACGCGAGTGAGTTTCTTATTTTGCTAACGATGATTTACTTTGATCCTGCTATTTCACAAGATTAAATGGATTATTTTTAATTATTTACTGAAAATCTATAAGTCGCGATGGATTAAACTATATTATAACATTATAATGCAGTAATAAATATCAGTTACAAATACAACTTTCTGTGGGTGCAATCAATCAATACAACATGTATAGCAATCACATTTCTAATCGGTTAGAGCTATTAACATTGAATAAAAAGTAAGTGATGCGTTAAAGCTTATACCAATAAGCTATTATCTTGACTCATCCGACGACGTTTCTTCGTTCCAGTGGGAAGTGTCGATGTTAGGCGAGCCAGAACTGAGTAAGGTGAAACAGGGCGACATAATTCAGCTGCAGCGGCGTGGTTTCTTCCGCGTGGATGTATCAGCGGCGCCGCCGTCTGCGCATACGGCGTGCGCTCGACCACTAGTATTGTTCCACGTACCGGACGGCAGCACCAGGAATCCACACGCACAGGTTAGTGATTTTAGCATAGCCACCGCGAGTGTAAACTGTCATCCCTAACAATTAAAGAGATTGGAGAGTTTAAAGGCTAGTCCGGCAGCGCTATCCTGTTGGATTTTGAAATGAATTCCCTACTCAATAATAGGGATGTAGACAAATTTTTACTTTAATATTTTTTTATATACAGGAATAATTTAAAACCACTGCGAAGATTTTGTGAAAATAAACTTTAAGTAATTTAAATAAACACGTATTTTTTATTTTGATATGTTCTAATACTAAAAAATAAAGTTATCGCTTATCAAAGATCGAGATTTTAAAACTTCATTTATGGGCACCGCGCGCCGTGCGTCAGCTGAGCGCTCCCTCGCCGACGCCGTATGCTCTTCGTCGCATACTTTCTCCGAATTGCGCTTATGTAGGTTCTCACCACTCAAAAGATAAACTCGTACATCTCGTAAAACTCACGACGGCGGGCGCGTCGCGTGCGCGGGAACGCGAGGACACGTCACATCGGCGCGTGCGTATGAGTCACACTGTCGCGCGCGTCGCTCGGTCCCGGCGGGGCGGTGGGGGCTGTGGCGGGGGGCTAGCGGGCGCGGCGAGGTTGCACGGTGGCATACGCAAGAGAAGACGTTTTCATTGAAGTTTTATTTTAAAAAATGTGTCCATATTCTACCGTTTCGATAGGGATAAAAATATTAAAAAAAAAATTTTTAACTAATTATGGAAAAGTGTTCTATTACTGATACTGAACCACCAAAAAAAATTTTTGCACTGGAAAAAAAATATTCCTGTATATATAATAAGTTAAAATCTAAAAATAAATTTACTTACCAAAATTTTTCGCAAAAACTCTTATTTCTGTAACGGCGTCGCTTTGTCGACACGCCCCTCTTAAACTAATATCGTTGTATTATTGCATAAGCTTTTATTCTCTAAGTTCTGATATGAGTAAGAAGGGCGTGAGATCACGCGCTGTTTACGGTTACGTGACAACGAGCATAAAATATTTGTTTTTTCATAATTAGTTTAAGCAATATTATAAATATAATAAGCATAAGCCTGTAATAGTATCCTAAACAATACCAGCAAAAAAAATGTATTCATTTTCGTTTACTGTCTACACCCGTATTCCCTAATTCATCAGCCGCTGACGAAATAGGGATAAAGTACCAATTATACATTTTTTTTAGACATGAATGAGTTTTTGTGGTATACCTAAGAAGTATACAATGTGGTATAGAATACTAGTTGTCGTCAGCATCGCCACAAATATTCCCGAAACAATGTAAATAGTAATTTATCCTCATTAGGTAACGCAATCACAAATTGGGCTTTTTACGAGTCAAAAATTCAGGTATAGATCCAAAAGACACCTATCCGTACCTCTGTCACAAGGTTCTAGCGGCAAAATTGTGAAAAAAGTATTTTTGTTTATTTATTCCCTTTCCAAATAGGAATAAGATATCACAACCATTTTTATATAGTGTCTCAATTTGATCCCAATGTCTATTTACGCTAATTTGATAAAACGTCTAGCATTTATACCATATAACTCTCTAGTCGTGACATCAGTTGCTGTAATAATAAATGTTTCGCTATTTAAAATTTCAGTTTAAAAATGATTATATTTTATGAACAAAATTTTTACTGCATTTTCTGGTAGCTATCCCGAATGTATATTTTTACTACTTTAAAATAAAATACCCTTCTCTTGAGATGGAATCCTAGATGTAAAAAAACAAAGATACATACCACTATTCGATCAACAATACAACATACCACAATATAAAAATAAATTGATCTTTAAAAAACTAAAACCCGAAACGAAAACCTGCAGAAATGACGTTTAAGTGCAGTTTGAGACGTGCTTAACTTTAAATACTTAATTTGTGTCTTGGCAGAATGTTTTTAGTTATTTTGTTATAAAAATAAACCAGATCCTATTGTCGATATATTATACGTTCATCTCAGGCTCATAAGCTGTGGTAAAAAAAATATATTTTGAAAATCACTCTAACGTTCGCAGAGAAATCAGTAAACACATAAAAAATACATACCAGTCGGACATAGAATCTCATTATTGATTTGAAGTTGGTTAAAAATAAGTTAGAATTTTTCTCACTGTTAATCAAGTTTAAAACAAAGATGAACAAAGTTCTTTAGTTAAATATTTATATTAACTACAATTCCATTTCACCTGAGCTGCTGAAATGTCATTTTGATATTAAGTTTACATTTTAAATCTCGGATTCCATTTACGAGTAGGTATAAATATGCTATTTATATAATTTTATCGGCGCACAAGGACCGTTAAGGTTTACAATTAACAAAAACGAAATTTGATGCTATCTCGCTCATAATAGATATACACTGGAAGACAATGAATTACCAAAGTATTTTCAAAATATACTTTAGTATAAGTAATTAAAAAAGAATTTTATCTAGTCGATGACTCCATTAATTATATCTTAGCCTATTATTATTGTTATCATTAGCAAACGACGGGGTTGACAATGAGTTACCTATAATAATGAGTTCGTTGACATTGTTGTAAATTACTGCCTTAGGGTATGTTCCGATATACACTGCGAGCACTGCGCAGTAGTCTTACTGCTGAAAATTCCGTTCCGTTATGGACTGCCAGTATACTGCTACAGTACCGTAGGGAAATTTATGACGTCATGAATTGCCGCCATATTTGTACTGTGAGCACTGGAGGTTTCGAGGTGCAGTGCTCGCAGTGCTTTTGACCACGTGATAAGTCGAAACAGATAAAATAAAATACTTACGTTTATTATAAGATGGATTTGATTGATAAATATTTTTTTTATACAATTTTCCAATTTTATAATATTTTCTTTTGAAAAGAGGGAATCTTTATATTTATATTCACCTTGCATTAACAAATTTGAAAATGGCGCCAAAAATAGGGTTAACAGTATACTGGACTGCGTTCCGTTTTAAAAAGTCACCAGTATAACTAGCTATAAAGGAACGGGCTTCCAGTATATTAAATTGACGTCATACTGTTCAGTGGTCGCAGTGTATATCGGAACATACCCTTAGAAACGCGTTTTTCATACTTAATATCTTTTTCGGTAACTTGACGTCAGGCTACAACATCAATTGAAGAAAAATCATTTATGAGCTGTGTCGTTCGAGTAAAATTCGTTCGATGTATGTACATATCGATGAAAAGATTTATAGCACGATGCCGCGGCGAGCATCTAAAATGGCGCGCAAACGTCAACCAATAGCAGATGACGATGACAGTTCACACAAAATATTTTTTGCGCTTTTCATAGATTAAAAATGTCTGCGTAGTTAAATCGGCCACTTGACCATTTATTATTTTTATTTTTCTGGTCTGGATTCACTTTTAACAGGTCCCAAAATTAGAAGATATTATTATTAAGCAATATTTTCTGTCCTAGCACAATTGATACTTTGTCATTTTTTTGGAAATAAATGTCTTTCTTTAATTTGTTTTTTTTTATTGTTATTATTTTTAGTTATATCTCACCCCCTTGTTTGTAATTCTTATATCTATTAAAAATAAATAGAATGGTTACTATTACGGCACCACCATTACTATAAAATAAAATAAAAATAAAAGAATCTACGGATTTACAAAAATAATATTATTAGTGAAAAACAAACTATTTTTTAACGAAAAACAAACTTATTAACTAACTATTGAATCTTTCACAAACAAAAAGTTAACATCTATTATAATCAAATATGCATTGTTTTTGTTCTTCACTTGTTCATGTTTTTACAGTAAAAATTCTTTTCGTTAACGAATTATAAACTAATAAAATACCTAAAAGATTTAACAAAATAACAATTGAATAAACCTTAAAGTTAAGTTCTTATCCAATAATACAAGCAATAATATTGCAATATAGTGCTGGCAGTTAGTTGTAACTATTGTCAATAGCTTAAAACTCGAAAGTTGATAAAACTAGATTGTTATTACAAATAGTCCGAAAATTGCTTTTCAATCGCTATAACATTAATAAATAATATAAATATAGCGTAACATAATAATAGTATTAAAAGAATACTATCCATGTAACCAATAGTTTTCATTAAATGTCTCAAAAATAAACGGATCTGCATACACAAACTCAATGGGTAGTCGTTGTCGTGGATCTAGTATTAACATTTGATTCAATAAATCGACTAACATACGATATTTTTTCTTGTCTATAATTTTCTCCTTATTTGTTGTCGTTCTTCCAAAGGATTTGTTATAAGAATTAAATATGTTCTGAGCTATACCATTATTTTTCTTAAAGTGACATATGAAAATAATATCCTAAAACAAGAACAGTTTAAATAAATATATTGTCTCTTTTTAATTTTTACCACAACGTTCGCACTCACAAAACAACATATACGAGAATAGTACATTACGATATTAGTGCGTTATGATGGTTATAACATGCGAGGCGGAATTTCAGCCCGAGCCGAAGGCGAGGGCGTAATTGAGCCGAGCATGTTATAACCAATATGCACGTATATCGTACGACATTTTTTAACACATTTGCGACAAAACAGAAAAAAATGTGCGAATGTACACTGTTGCTTTCCCGCCATTTTAACAGCGCGCCAGCGCTGTCTACTGACTGGCGCCGCGCGGTAATCGCCGCGATTCGATTAGGGGGGAGTGAGATCTCTTCCTATTTCACCCGTGTTTGATGTAACCTTCCCATAAGTTCAAGAATTTTCATGATCGAGTCAGTATTTTTGACGATTACCCCCTCTACAATCAAACAAATTCCGAAACTAGCTGCATAATATTAATATACACATGAAAAAAAAGTGTTTTGTTATGCGAATTTTCGGTTTGAACATCTGTTATGGCAACTTCTCTTTTTTTTTACAGCCAGGTGATTCTTGATTTAGACAATTTTACATGCAAGTAGATTTTTTAGAACCACTAAAGTAGCAGGATCAACGTTATATAACTTTATTCTGGAACTGACAATTGTGTCTTGAATTTGGTACAGAGTATGAGTAGTACATAAGAATATAAATATTTAGCTATGAATTACCTACGGAAGTTGCTATAGTATGCGGAATTTATTTGGAAGTTTTGTCCCTTAATTTTGATACTAAACATAAAGTGAAGTAGCGGAACCAACTTTCAATAGTCTTACACGAACGCAATCGCGATCGATCGACATTACAAATGTGCCATTTCATACTCTTGATTGGGTACACTAGCGTCAGTTGCAATGTCGATTGGTCGCGATTGTGTTCGAGAGTAAGCATGCAGGTTCAGCTACACTGGCGTCAATGTACCGCGCTCATTTTTCCATATCGTCTATAACATACGGAAAATTCATTGGTATTCCTTCAGAAGTACAAAAATCGCTTTTATGGTACAAGTAGTCCATTATATAGGACAAATTCTGTACTATATAACGTACTATTTGTGCATTTCTTTTTAATTTGGGAGTTTGGCACCGCTATCTTGATGCTCGCGAATAGAAGATAGACAAAGCATTATTTTCATAATGATAATATTAAAAGACTTCACGTACCTTTCCCAAATAACCTTGTTTTCTCATAAATTGTGTTCCAAAGAAGTGGTTGTCCTTATAAATTGACGATTGTACCATTCCAAATGGAATATCTCCCAAAATGCTCATTTGCTTGTACAATATATCATTATTGAACATGCCAGGGAATAATTTACGGCCGCCCGTGGCCATTTCGTACATTACCAAAGCGGTGGACCAGACGTCTATACTAAAACCGTCTGAATATCCTAAGATTAATTCAGGCGCACGGTAGCTTGGTGTACCAATATTTGGTAACAAAATTACCTGATCAACTGATCGGCATTCGTCAAAGCCGCAAAGCTTCAAATTATCTAATGAATGATTTATTAAAACGTGTTCTGGTTTTATAGCTGAAAAATAAAAATATTTCCTTTCTAGTGTTTAAAAACATTGGTGGCAATGGTAATATATGACATTGATATTAATGTATAGATAAGTTCTGTATAAAGATAAATTAATGCATACCTGAATGCACTACATTGTTATTCCTTAATACGATTACCGCAGCTACCAACTGTCTTGATAATTTTTGAACCATATTTATATGAAAACAATTCTGCTTTTCATCAAAGACTTGTTTAAGGTTCTTAGGATAATATTCCAACAAGAAACACCAGCGTCCCGACATACCAAACCCATTAAATAAATTAACAATGTGTTGATTTCTTTTCGGAATATCCTTTTGTAAATCATTTAATATTTTTTCCTTTTGTACCCCTAACATGAACCGATCTTGTTCTTTACTGTAACGAAAAAAAAACGTAATTAATTATTATAATATTAAGCAAATGCATCTTGTGATTTTTATACCTACTTTAATACTTTGACGACATATTTATTCAGTTTGGGATCTGTACATTGAAATATATTTGAATACTTTCCTCTGCGTATCAAAGTTCCTATGTCATAGTTTATACCCAAGTATTCTAGCATTCTATGTGCCAAAGTTTGCGACAGACATTCTTCGTATGGAGTCTTTACGAGACCCATAGATACATCACAATAGTTTTCTTTCTTCCCTGTTTCGTTTCCGACCTTTACTACAATATTAGAAGTGTCATTCTTTTGATTTATGCAAGGAGGTTCTGGTACCTTACAAGTGTTTGATAATCTATTTTTAACATTTTCAGTAATTTTACCAGAACTAATTACCAAACCGTTTTCTGTTTTTGCAAAATTTGATAGTGTAGAAAAATATTGGTCTTTAACATTTCTTACACTAGCTATTTTTCCCGTTATCTTATCTTCTGCAGTCACTTTGAGCTTAGTTTTATTTAAAGAGGTTGACGTATACTCACAATCGTGTAAAGTTTTTACAGTTGCCATGTTAAATTCAGAAGTTCGTGATAAAACTTCAGTCGTAATATTTTTATTAGAGGTTTTGCTTGTAATATCACTATCCGTTAGATGAATTTTTCTTTCAGGTTCCTTCACGTTAAAATTGTCAGAATTATTCTTATTAGTAAATAGAACAGTTGAACAACTTTCTTTAGTGCTTAATATATTTTGATTAAATTTTTCTATAGATACATTACAACTATTGGATTTTGTATCCTCTTTAAATAGATTGCTATTTGATACAAGGTTCGTCTCATCAGTTTCACTGACTTTTTTTTCATTTTCTGCATTAGGTTTTTTGTTTGATATATTATTTATGATGGATAATAACTTGGACAACCCATCATTATTATCATTATATCTGCTATGCATTTTAGACGATAGTTGTTGATTTGAATCAATCATTGGATCAGTAATTGCTTCGTCTTCCAGTTTAATAATTTCTGTGTTAATGATTTCATTTTTCCTCTCTTTATTACTATTATTCATAAAAGGTACATTATTATGAACTACATCTACACAGTCTGTTTTACAATCTTGTTTATTTGGCTGTGATTTTGAAATAATTAATGAATCTTGATTGGATTCTTCATCCACCACAATAATTTCGGTAGAAAATTCGTTCCTATTATCAATGTCTTTAGTTTTTGATCGAAAACCATCAATATCAACGCCAACCTCATCGTTATCACCTTGTTTTCGATTAGAAGTTTGTTGATTGTTAGGGGAAACTACTTCTTCAATAAATGATCCGTGGTCTAACACAATAATTCCTGCTTCGATTTTGTAATCGTCTTTTTGGGTCTTTACGTTCTTTGGTGGATTTACATTTAGGTCATTGATTTTTGTCTCTTGGAGGGAAGTTTGCTGCGTGCTAGGATAGATTAATGTGTCTGTGTCGGAATCTTCATCTAGTACAATAATATCTGTTGGGAATTCGCGTTTACATTCTATTTTACTCTGTTCATTTGAAGATGGCTGTGTACGTGATTCAATAAAAGTATCTGTAATTGGTCCTTCATTTCGTACAATATTTATTGTAAACTCATTTTTGTCTTCTTTTTCAGTCTCATTACTTGACAGACAACTATTAACTTTATTGGTAGATGTGTTGTTTGAAGTAAATGATATGTTAGTAAACAGATTTGTATCCGGAACTGTAACGTGTTCTATTTCGCTTTTATCGTTACCGTCATTATCGCACGTTTCTCGATCCACTACTGTGTCTGTCTTATTTCCACCTATTTTATTATGTACGAATGAGCTGTAAACAAATACTTATTTTTAAGTTTTATTCAACAAAATTTACAATAACATTAAAAATGTATACTTACTGTAATTTTACGTCAACAATATTCTTGTTATCGTCAGAATTGCGTGAATCAGAATGCTCGTTCATTTTATTATTTGTTTTACTATCGATATTTGCGAGTTTACAGTCATTTTCCTTATAATTTAAACTATCGACAATATCATCGACATTAAAATCGTCAAGAAAACTAAGATCAACATTTGTTAGTTGACAGGTATCTTTATTTATAACTTCATCTTTCAACGTCTTGCTTTTAGTTTTTTCACATATAAGATTAACTATTAATTTTATTGTTTTCATTTTCGGCACTGTAAAATCACTTTGCATATTTTGACCAGGTTTGATTCTACTGCTGTCTTGATCATTAATAGTATTGGGTTTCGAAACAATTGAGCGACGTTTTTTTGCACGATTCAGTTTTTTTCTTAAGTCTTCAACCACTGGATATTTTTTTACGTTTGTTTTAGACTGAACAAAGTTATTTGTTGATTTAACTACACTTTTGATAGTTAGTGTTTTCGAAATATAGTTATCATTAGTATTTGCACGAGTAGGTATTGTTTTGACTTTTATATACTTATTGGAAGATTCTTGATTTTCATAATAACAATTTTGTCCTTTCATGACTGCAATTTTAGGTGCCTCGTGATCTTTATGCTTATTTTGATCTTTAACAGAGGACTTGTATTTATTTTCAACTTTCAGGTTTGATTTGATGGGAGCAGAATCTTTTTTTCTATTTATGATATCGAGACGAGATATATTCTTTGGATTATTATTTATACGATTGGCTACTTCAACTAAATCTTCATTATTGTTGATATTTTGTGTATTCGTTTTATATTTTCGATATCTTGGTGTATCATCAGTTTCAGTTGGACGTTTGCTTTTCAAAGGAGTAGGGAGAACTTCGCTCGTTTTTCGTTTTTCATCAATTTTTGAAATTAATTTATTTGAGGACAAAGGCTTAATAATTTTCTTTGAAGATTTAGTCACTTTACATGTGGGCGATGTTGAACGTTCTTGATTTTTATAATGTGATATTTGTCGTCGTTTTTCTTTATTTGTTCTTAGTGTTATTTCCTTTGATAAAATTTGCTGTCGTTTATTATCTGTGTTTCGGAGTGTCACAGAACACGAGTTTTTAAGTTGGGTGGTGTTAGTACTTAGACAATTGGAATTTGATTTAAAAGAGTGGTTTGGTGGTGACACTTTGGTTTTTATTTTGAATTTATGTTGCTTCTCATTAGATGTTTTTGCCAAAGTGCTCTTATTTTTGACATCATTTTGAAGTGTTATGATTTGAACATCTTTCCCATTTTGCAAATTATTTGTTGTGTTTGAAGGATTACTTTTTATCTTTGGGATACGAAACTTCTTTATTGAAGGTAATGGTTTTTTATTAAAAATTGTAGATGGGCTTTTATCTAAATGGCTAATGATTTTTGATAAGTTGCATTGTGTTACATTGAGGTCGATATTAATTTTCTTTTCCTGGACTTCTTTTTTAGGTAAAATGGTTGACAACAATGTTTTAACTCTATTGTCTATTTCGTCTTTGTTTTCAATTTTTGGTTCAGGATGTTTCTCATTTTCAGTCGGACAGCTTTGTATATTTAAGTTTTGATATTTAGCATCTTCATCATTGTTTCCTCTGTCAGGTATGCAGACAATTGGAATTTTTGACTTAGTAGAAACAGTTAACTGTTGGAAAAAATATCCATTGATGTAATATAATAAGTCCGCTAGATTCAGCAAATGCACTCTTTCTAAAAAATTGCTCAAGTTTGGCTTTAAAAATCGTACAAGGGTATTTTAAATGTGTATTAGGACTGACCTACATCTGGCGATCCTTGTGGCATATCGCCTTTTCTGTTATCCTAACCTAAAGTTACCCTAACCTTGCACCACGATTTTCTAGAGCGAGAAAGATCGATACACATCTTTCTCGCTCTAGAAAATCGTGGTGCAAGGTTATCAAGGATTCCACGGAATATCACATACCCGCTATTTTCTCTAGAATAGGATTCTAGGAAGGGTCATGCCGCCAGGTGTAGATCAACCCTTCACTTAAAGCTATATTTGTTAATTCATATAAGTTCAGCTCACATTATCTGTTAAAATAAGTTTAACTACCTATATTAAAAAATGTTATGATTCAAAAACAGTCCTCTTGCGAATAACAAAACCAGTTTTGTTCCTCAAATTCCTTCAACTAAAACAATAACTATATATACATAAAAAATATAAGACTATTGAAGAACACCTCAATTGTAACCTAACACCAATAGTTCTCCGGTAAGAATTATTTTAAATAAATTAAATCTACTTATAATAACATATTAGCAAGTTTGTATTGTTAGAATTGATAAATATTTCCTGTGCATAGCAATACGTAAGTAAGACCCAATTACATTTTGTTACCTTATTAATAAATAAATGTATGAATATTTGACATAGTCGTGAATGCATGAGGTGTTTCACTTGTAACTGGCTGTATTTTAAGCCACCAAACATTATACCAAATAGACTTAAGTATATTGTAACGGCTGTTGGTAAATCAAATAAACAAAATAATAAAAAAAAATCTAAAAGAATACTAAGTTATGCCATAATGGCCTCCTGCTTTCAGTCAACCGCGTGTGACCGCCTAAATCTCAAGCAATAGGATAAATATTATTGATGTTATGGCGGTATTTTGTCACATTTTACTATTTTACATGTACTTTATTAGCGACGAACGAATGACACAGAATGATGGTTATGTTATGGATCTGACAAAAGCGTTACCAAATTAGTAATTTATCCCAAAAACGTCCACCAAAAGTCATATCAAAAAAAAAAAATAGAATAAAATGAAATACCGCCATTATATCGATAAGATGTCGTATCCTAGAATAATGGCTAGAGCGTTCTGCGGTCGCACCCCTGGTGTTCTGTGGATATCGCGAGAGTAAGTGCATGATAGCAAATACACGAAAAACATTTTATATTCTGGTAGTTTATAGTCTAATAACTAACATACAAAAATAACGAAGATGGAAACAAAAAATATCAATAGAATGCCATTATCTCTCTACACACTTATTTTTTGTAAGCATAGGCGGCACAGTGTTTTCAAAAAGATTCACTCTTTATTTTTTGTGGTACTTTTTTGTTTATCTTTTTAACTCCAAAATTAACAAATGGAAACATAACAGATTTAATTTTGGTTCTAAACTTATACTATTCAATTAAAATACACGAGAACTATCTGTCACAGCAATGACAATGTTTTTTATAAATAAGTTGACTTTAAAGAAAATATATTTTAGTAAGTTTATGTTAATATATGTAATTCTAAACACGTTTCAAATTCAACTCTATATTCAACTAACTGAGTTGTAGACAGAATAAAACTATTCCTTAAAAATGTTGTAAGATGATATCAACTGTATAAAATGGCTCATTGATGTTGGTAGATGAAGTCCGCATGCGGGTGCGCGTGATTTCTGGTATTCCTTTTCTTTGACAGATAATTGGTTAGTGTTCAACGAAATGAGCCTGCATTTCGCATGCGATCCTCGTCAATCAATGTAAATGAGCCATAAAGCATGTATTATTATCATTTAATAATGCAATTTTTTTTTGTTAAATTCATTTGAATGGTATGATGGTATATCCGGATCACAAAATTATACCTATTTGGTTAAAATAGAATAAAATTATGTTATTTAAATTTACAAAATTTTAATCATATTCAGAATCAGTTGTTAATAATGCTGCTATGGGATTTTATTATTAGACTTATTTCAGATGTATTTATTTTATATAAATATCCCATCCCAATTCCGACGCTGTCCCATTATTCTAACTTTGTATAAGACAAATATTATTTGTTTTCGACATATCCAAAGGACAAAGTTACATCTGCCTAATTTTTATTTTTGACGATGGGGATTTTTCATTTTAATTTCACAAAAGAATCAGTTCAACTGCTAAATTTGTAACTACATTATAGACTTTTAAGAAATTGATTTGACTTTTTAGCCAAATATGGCTTTATTCTATAAATAGGTTGATATAAAAAACAATACAAATTACATATGATGAAACTTAAAAAACAAAATGTTCTTACATTAGAAGTGTATTGGTACAGACTGCCGTTATCATCACATTTTCATGTGTACTTAGTTACCTATCTATAAATTGAATCAAGAGAGATGTCATTAATATAACAAATAATAATTAAATACAACATTTATCAATTATTATTAATTTTGAATATACAATAAATACTATTTAGTTATCTTAGATAAATAGTTAAAAAATCATCTTGGGCTTCTTCTCAACTTTTTTGCTACAAAGTAATTACTTTGTTTAAGTATGTAGGAATGACCTATATATTTAAACAAAGTAGTAGTAATATTAATAATATTCTATTATTGTCATACTTACTCACTATTAACACTTACATGGGACTGTCCAATACTATGAAGATAATTTGATGACCAATTGCTACTGCTGTTGCTATTGCTAAATTTGTTGTTTTTATTATTATCTATGCTGCTTTTATTGGCAATCGATGTAGGCATGCATGTTCTTACTCCATTTTTTTTTATGCTTTGATGTCTTAGTATTTTACTATTATTTAATGGAGCGACAATTTGGCATTCTGTATCAAGTTTTAGTTTCTTTGCTGGTGGTTGTCCTTTGGTGGCAAAGGAAAATGTCGGCTGTATTACTATGTTAGGGCTTTCATATTGCGAAAAATGATTCCGTCTGGAATTTTGCATTGTCATTCTACAACAAATAAAAAATGCTATAAAAATATACTTCATTGATTTACTCAATTTCCGTATAGCTTTAAAAAATTACAATATCAAAAATGAATAGTTTTTTATTAAGTTTTCGTCTTTGAATCACGAATATATATGTAGACATCTAGCTTCTTATATTTGTTAAATTTAAAAAAAACAAGCATCTAAAATGAAATGGTTAATTAAGTTTTACCCAGAACAATTGTGGCAGAAATAATTTGAACTATTTTCCATGTTTTTTTCTTCCACCGCTCATTACTCTTGCCGCGAATCCATTGTAAATCTCTCGCTCAGCCGTTGTATAGGTCCCAAAGATTAAAGTATTATAAATAGTCCGCCACCATCAAAGAGTATACGAAAAAACTACCTAAGAGAATTTAAACAAGTTTTAAAAACTACCATTCCCCATGTGTAGAAGAAACCCAGACTGATTTGATTTGATTTTTTCGCACGTACAGTCAACAGCACGTCAGGTTTTACAAATCTGTCAGATTTCTCAACTTGAATATAAACCATAATGTTTGATAGGATGTGGGAATATGCACATTTTTTGCAAATGTTTTGATATAATAATTATTTAACTAAAAAATAATCGGCACCGAAAAAACTAAAATTTAGTAAAAATAATAATTGATGAAAATAAGTAACAACTACGTGCAGTTTAAATGACGAAATTTTTGGTTCGCTTCACAGACTTATTTATAGTAGGTTGTGATGTCAAAGAATAAGACTAGAGATATGACATATGGATTTTGACTGATTTATTACTATTCAATTATCCAAATCGATTAACAATCATCGTTTTTTTTTTAAAGTATAATATAATTTTGTAATATTCATATAGTTTACCTAATTGGTGAAATAAAAATACATGGATGTCATTGCATCGATGGTAACTTTTGTAACAACATCATCCCTATACGTATAAATTTTCGTTAGATCGGCTATGACAAGTAGCATGGCTTATGAATATTTTGAAGTTACCGCATTTCTTTGCACTTTTTAATAATTATTTTCGAGACAAAAACGAAATGACTTATTTTAGTCAGTGACACAAGGCAACGATTATGCTGGTGTTTTTTTTTTGTTCAAAAGTGCATTGTGAATGCAAAATTCCAATCTCAAATTAGCATTTTTAAAAATCTATTGTAAATATTGTTTATCACAGCCTAGTAGTTAAATTAGTCGTCCAATTGGACGGTTAGCCCTTTCATTGAATGGCGCTTGAATCGAATTCAATTGCATGGCTAAACTCCAATAACGAATTTTTGCAAACTTTGAATATTTGTTTTTTTGGATGTTTGGAATTTGCTAGCATGCAGGTTTTTGTGCGCATAAAAGTAAACAAATTTTAAAGTTTGTGTGGATTACCACACTTGATGCAATGTTTAGCAAAGCGTGAGCAGTTGTGGTGTGTTTTATTTTTTGTGTTGATTGACATGGAGTACAGTTAAGATTTTATTATTGAATTTCTTGAGCGTCTATAAACTCCTTGAAACTCCCTGAAAATACTTGAAACATTGTACGGTTTAAAAAAAAAGATTTTCCGTGCCTTTTTGTCGACTGGTCAAGCCATCAGCCATCTTTAAACGAAATGTAAGCATCGAAAATTAATAAATATGACATCGTTTCGTGTTTCTTATAATATCTAACTTTCAAATTAAGTTTAATTTATTTGAGTCGTAAGTTTAAGTAATTTGCTATGTTCCATGTAAAGGAACGATGTTTGGTTTATATGTCAACATTAGTGATGAGCCAAGTTATGGGTTGCTCGTAACTTCAATTAATATTGAGAATTTTCTATGCTGCGGAAAATTGTCTTTTTCGAGGTATTTTTTGTAGAAATCACACAACTCCATGTCTTCAAATTTTGATGTTAGGAGTGAGTTTTCTTGAATCTCGATCAACTTTTGCAAGTGTATTGAAGCATTTTGTACATTAATTTTGTCAGTCGTCTATGTTTCTGAAATCGCTAAATCTGTTCGTAAATTGCTCCGACAGTACCTTGAGTTCTTCAGCATATTGAGCATAAGCAATATTCTCTTACGAAATGATAACTGTTTCCAGACAGCATCTGTGCTGTACAAATCATTTACTAACAGTTCTTGTTTTTAAAGGTTCAAATTTAAATCATTCAAATAGTAACTAAGGTCGACCAGAAATGCTGTCATTTATTCATTTTGGGTCACTCAATTTAGATAGTGGTTTATTTTTTATTTACAGTCTTTTATCTCATTTATAAGCTCGTAAAACCGTTTCAGCATTTTCCCTTTGCTTAGCTATCTGACTTCAGAATAATATGAACATATTATTCTGAAGTCGTCGTCATATTCGGCTGATATTTCATCCAAAAACGCCTTGACTTGACGATGGTTATGCCTTCGGGATCGAATCAAATTAATGGTTTTTACTGCCACATTTATAACATTCTGGAGTCAAATGGACTTAGAACAGAAATTCTGTTGCTGGATAATGCAGTGAAAGACTATCAAATCATATTTTTTTTTCGTTCAAAATTGAATGGAACGTGCACCATCTGTGCATACTCTAACTTATTTGACCATGGCAAGGTAAAACTTGTAAATACCTTTTGAACTTCATTAAAAATGTCCTCTCTTGAATTGGTTCCTTTTAGCGACTGTAAACCAAGCAATTCCTCAGTAATAGTGAACTCTTTATCAACACCTCGAATAAATATAGCCAGTTTAGCTGTGTCCGATAAATCGGTGCTCTCGTCTAATTTTATGGAAAATGATTCAAAACCAGCTCGCGCGTTGAGATCATCAGAGAGCTTAAAATTGCAGATGCCGATGCATTCCACAAAATTCCTTTATAAGTCATTCGCAGTTCAGGCTGTTCGCTTGTGGAATGCATTGCCGGAAGAAATAATGCGCGCTACGTCACTAAATTAATAATATTTATTACTTCAAGTATAATACGCTATCGTTTTCATCCTACTTCTATTCCATACGTATAGAATAGAAGTAGGATTAGGTTTAGATACTTTTATATTTATTATTATTATGTATTATTTTTGTGTATATATGCATATTTATGTATGAGTTTGTGTGTATGTATGTAAATGTGTATGTGTGTAGGTATGTTTATATATGAAACCATGTTTTCTAGCCATGTAAGACACCATCAACTGCCCATCTACTTAAGAAATAGTCCAGTCTAACCTACGGTTGCCTGGAAGAAATTGCTTTTTAGTGATAAGGCCGCCGATTGTACCACTAAATTGTATCGATTATCCTTTTGTTTAATTATGGTGTACAATAAAAGTATTCATTCGTTCATTGATACTTATATTTTTTAAATGTTGTACATACCTAGAGACAGGCGGTATTACTATTGGATACTTTTTTAAATTTCCTTATTAATACCAGTATTATGGTTTTTACTATAAATACAGTCCCTATTTGAATAATCATATATATATATAATTATAATAGAATATTTATAATTTCGATAATTTATTTTGATACATCAGTAATTATGATTGATTTATTATATATTTTTAATATTACATATCTTTAAATCTCCTTAATCAGTACAGGATTAAGCTTAGATTTTTACTTCAAATTATATTCAATCCAAAACTGCTAATATCTGTAACTATTTGGATTCTTAATTTTATATGCACATGAAAATTTAAAATTTGTTGTGTTATACATTAATTTTTAACATGTGTCTATCATCTTAATAGTTGTATCCTATGCTATACTCCGTGCAAATTGAAATAAAAATTAATTATTAGATATGCTATGCTATTGATTTGCTGTTGTAATTATTATGTTTAATGGGTTAAGGTGCAAAACGCGATTGTGATACCTTATATCGAATGATTTTCCAAAAACATTTTCAGTTGAACGTCTACAATCCAAGTTTTATGTGTGTTTTGAATGTATTTTTTTAATTAGGTTTTTCAAAATATCTCGCGGGCTTGCTGTTGCCCACCGTGGCTCTAAACCATTGTCTTCTTGATGTATGAAATAAAGAGTTATTAAAATAATTTAATTTTAAGAGTATATTATTTCTTGGACAATTTTAGACACAACAAGAGGTCGTCCATAACCAGTCTGGTTTCGAAAATAAAATGTGTAGTAATAATGGGAGTTATTTACTTGGACCATACATAAAAGAAACAGGAAGAAACTAACCTTTGGACCAATGAAAATGACCCTTTATGGCTGTTAGATATTTATATTATGCAGTATTTAATTTACTATTGTTTAATATAAATAGAACTTTTAGTGATGCTTTAAATAAAACAAAATTTTTGTTTTTAGGACATTTATAAAAAAATAACAATAATTTTAATAAAAAAAGAAGTAACATACATAATAAACAAAACAGTCAAACTTTGTATTTTACTATTAGTTTTCAACTTTTTATTGATAAATCATACTTGCTTTATATTGATTATCATTATCATTAACATTATTATTAATGCTATCAACACTAGCACATAGTTTAGATTTAAAAATCTTAGGATCATCAAATAGTATTCCTGATTTTTCTTTCACATATTGTTCTGATATAATTTTATACTTAGAATCTGTATCACCTAATATCTTCTCTGGTGAATAATTTGATGCATTAACATCAATTGTTGAGTCATCAGGCTCTAAGACGAGTGTTGCAAGTGAATGTATAGAATTATTTTTAAAACTTTTACTGTCCAATGATGTTTCATCGTCTGATGATATCTCAATTATATTTTGAGTAGTGGTACATACTGGCTGATTACTAAACAAGTACTGTTGATCACGCTGAAAACCAGATATTTCAGATTGTTATTTTAAAGGGAACTTATGTTTTTATGTATTTATTGGATTTATGATTAATAACTAAAATTATTAACTTACCTCTCTTGCTCTTTTAATAAGAGTATCAAGTTTACTTTCTTTATTGCTTATACTTGAAAAAGAACCAAGACTTATACTATCATAACTTATTTCATCAGTTTTTAAAGATGAAAGAGATATAGATGATAATGATGGTTGCTTTGTAGCTATAGTAGTTTGTACATATTCAGTTGATATCTAAAATAGAAGATTAAAAATATATCATATTAATTTATGTGCAAGTACACAAATAAGTTGTTTTTTTATATACTTAGGTACCTTAACATCTGGTGATATATTGGTCTGAATTTTATGTTTGGGTTTAGGATAGTGGTGATGTTTCTTGTGATATTTTGATTTACTCACTTTATTAGTGCAGTTCAATACCTGTAAAAAATTGAATATTATTTTCTTATTTTATCAGGCTATCAAATTCACAAGTGTTATGTTAAATATACTTTTTGTTTTCTTCTTTGTCTTGGTTCTTTTTTAGTGTTAACAACATATTGACATTTTTTTCTACAGCATTTAGGTATTATTCTTCCTGTAAAATTACCAGACTCAATTTTTTCCTCTACAGCGTCGTTATAAACGTTGGTATTTAAATTTATTACACACATAATATTCTGCTTTTTCACTTTAACTTTTTGAGTTACAATTAATGTTTCGACGTTCTTCTCTTTCTTTTCCAGTGAAACTTTTCTTTTCGGCTTCGTTTTATTACTTTTTGCAACTTTGTTTTTCGGCGTCCCATTATCTTCATCGGAAATGATTATTGTATTATCTTCACACTTTAATGTCTGTATTATTGTATAATCCATCATTAAATGACTGCAAATAAACAGTTACGCATTTAACAATAATATATTCGAAACTTCATCAAGTTAATGCTAACAAAAAAAATAATATATTTATATTTGGCCGCGCCAACTACCTTCTTTTCTTGACATTCTGCATAAAGAGAATGTAAACTCTAGCGATATGAATCGAGCAACTCGAATCATTTCAGTATATACTCGAATAGTAAAATAATCGCTCGTTGATACTAGCGCCTGTGTGATCCTGAGTTTAAGGCCAAAACTCCGTGAAATCGATATATCCGTCATTAATATTTTTAACGATACTCGTTCCGTTTCTTATCATTTGATCAGAAAATTAGAAATATTTTAATAAGTTAATAAACAACAAACATCGTCCGAATAACGCGATGCTTAAAATTAACTATTGTGTAAAATTTAAAACTTCAAAATTAATAAAAAAGTAAATACGGATTTGATTTTTTAATCCTTCTTGAATTCTTAAATACTTACATAGTGGAGTTCTAATACCATTCTATAGAATATTCACCTGTGGCTGTATGAAATTTAATTTATTGTGAATATAAGTACAATATTTCGCCGCAATGTATAATACAAATGGTTCCTAATTTAGTAATTTAAGAAATCGACACTGTTGAATAATTATATTGAATGATACTATGATGATACTAATAAGCTTAACTTATTTATTGTTTTATTAACGCTGCGTAATTTAATAGTGCAACGATTGCGTTATTGTTAATTGGTAGTTATGCCGACTTGGATATCTTTGCTATACCTTTAACTCTTAATTTTTTTGACTTTATATGAAATCATAATAAAAGGAATTACCTACCTGTTCTAAAATCTATAATTATCAGGAAAAGCCTTAATAAATAACCCTATCCTGAGTGAGAATCGAATTCGACACTCGCTCGCGGCTCAGCAATACCTCTGAGGTAGCCTATCTGATATTATTGTTTAACATTTTGCGTATAAAGACAAAGGGAAAGCGAGACGAAATTAAAAGGCAATTGATTGAGACAAAATATGACATGATGTCGATTACGGGAAATTAGAGTGATAAAAAATATTTATAATCAAGTACATACCTACTCCTCAAACCATTAAGTGTCTATTATTATTGTAAAAAGTTCAATTACACACCTCGATTATATGTTATATATAAACAGTGATATGTAACTATAATGTGTCGTACTTTGACCACAAACAAAACGCAACTTATTGTTTAGGATAACCTAGTAGGGTTTTGATGTTTTTTTCTGTGTTCTTTGTAAACTTATTCCAATTGTTGTGTTTGTTTGTTTGTTCCAAATAAAATACAAAACTATACTACATTAAGAAACGAAATCAATATCCTTCTTGACAATTTAACACTACTCTAATTGGTGGTTTACATAAGTATAATTAAGCAGATATTTAGATTCTACTTTTAAAAACAATTAAGCTCATATGTTGTTATCAAAATTTTAAAGTACTGCTTATTTGTCTGTATACACGTACCTACTTAATAATTTAAAATTAAGTTTAAAATCTACTTACGTGTAAACAAGTTAGTAGTCAAGATTAATAAATAAAAACAAACTTAATAAAGCTATTGAAGTAAGTATACGCGATACCAAGACCGATTAGGTCTTGAAAATCGAAACAGATAGAAAACCATACCAATATCATAAAATACTAGGGAATATGAATATTATTACACAACAAAGACGTAACATGACTACTGGCTGAACTTCAACAGCCAACTTAAAAAAGTTATTTGTGGGCTGACGGAGGATGTAGGTAGGTAAGTATTTAAGAATCAAATTTCAATTAGCGTCAGCGGTTCCTGGAAGACTGGCTAAGAATTGTAACCAGAAATATAAGTGAACAAAAATGTTTGTTATTGAGTATAATATATCCTATTAAATAGGTACAGACAACAGCACGTCAGGCTATATAAAGTTATCAAAACTATCTATGAATTTTAAATCTTAATGCATTGTAGTTATAGTTTAAAATGAATTGATGAAATTTGACATACTCATTAGAGACAGACGAGGTCTGGTAGTGTGTAAGGTGACAATTATTTAAATAATTATAATCTTTATTTTTCCATCAACATTTAACAAAGATAGTTTAAAATGAATTGATGAAATTTGACATACTCATTAGAGACAGACGAGGTCTGGTAGTGTGTAAGGTGACAATTATTTAAATAATAATAATCTTTATTTTTCCATCAACATTTAACAAAGTGTGCTTAATTCTAGCGATACACTAAGCAAAGCTTGGCTTGTAGCGATAAAAAAAAAATACTATCCACATACAATTAACAAGGCGCACCGTTTACATTGCAGCAAATTAAAAGTTATTTGTTCAGTATTTTCTTTATTTAGTATTCTTTATTTTATTATTTTGGGCCAATATAATATCTTAAGTCAGTGTTGACTCAAGCTATAAATTATACTACACAACGTTTCTGAAACAAATTCCAAACTTTAGATGGGTAATCATCGCATTCACAAAAACAAATTACAAATAACAACGAATGAGTGGGCTTAAGACCATTGAACTGCTCAATGCTTAAGACTACGTTAAGAGAGACGTATGGTGCGATACAACCCTTGTTGCCAGAACGCCAACCACTTAAGTAGGTATTTGTTGTTCAAAAACAACTTTATTGTTTCCCTCTTGAGATTTGACTACAATTATTACAATAATATTTTCAACAATGCAGAAAGAATTAATATAACATTCTGCCAGATAACAGTGATCGACACTTTACACAAGGCTTTATTTTCCCATTAGGTATATATGTCATTGCATATATATTGCAACCTTTATCCTTGACTTTAACTGCAATTATTGTGCAACTGAGACAAGTCAATGAACTTTATTCTTAATTGTTAAGTTTCACCGATAATTTGGTTCTGTTTAATGGAATACCCTAACATCTGGAAGCAATAGTTTTGATTCTTTATTTTTTATTATTATTTCCTTTGAAATGGTTATAGGTATTGTTGTAAGGAACAAAGACGCAATATCTATCGTAATACTTTTTTTTATGGTAAACTTGCTTTTTTCTGTTTAATGATGTCCGGCCTTAAATAGTTTTATTTCGGTCAAGAACACGTGTGTACAAATAGAAAAGAATTTCTACGAATGTCCCTAAAAACTGTCGTTACAGTAAAATTGATGTTAATTTATTGTCTTTCGGATCCTTGCATTGAAATTAAGACATTGCAGGCAACCAATAAGTAAAAAACACTTATTTTAAAACGGACACATATTTTAGATGCTGCTAGAACCATCACACCTTTGCAATAGGTATCTCATAAAAAATCCTTTCCAAAACTCATTTAAGTTGTCAAAAGTTTCATTGCTTTCAGTGTCAACTGATGCCCTCTAGTATTTTTCTACGTTAGTCAGTCAGTTCTTGCGATAATAGCATCGAGATTCGTGGTTCACAGTACTTTGATGTAAGTAGTTACTGCTGCGGATGATCCTATAGTCAATCCATGTGGAAACACTGTCTATACAAGACTGCCGAGACATTGATCTTTTGTAGTTTATTAACAATAATTATTATTTATAAGATTCTATTAAGCTTCATAAAATAATTTATAGACATTAAATATGTAAATGACGTTAGGAAATAATATTTTATCATTAAAATTACAAATGCTTTAGAATAACAATAACCATGTTTTGGTTCAAGTGTCTATTAGTTATATAATTTTAAAGCTACTTATTGTTTAAACAATTATCCATTTAATAAACATTGAAATATATTTTAGTACGAAAAAATAAACCTTATTTGAGTTCGAATTTTAATCCCATAATACGTACTGTACTATAAAGACTAAGAGAAATTAATTTTCTCCATTAATCTGACCGGGAATATAACCCGGGACCACAGAAATGGCAACAAAACGTCTTGAAACCGGCGCGCGAGCCATTTGGCCACGCAGGATACTAATGACAAGGCGTACACATTTTTTTTGCCTTGAGCGGCAAAGTAGCTGGAACTGCACTTTTTTATAGAGCATTGTGGAACTATCGATCACTCACAAACGTGTGGTTTAACGAAGACTATAAGCTCTTATGAATGTTCTAAATTTAAAAATTAGAACATTCGTTAGTTTAAGGCGACATTACCCATACATATTTGACATTCATTAGAGCTTAAAGGTGTTATTAAAGTTTAATGCACGTTTGTGCATCTAACGGAACGTCACTTTAATCATTTAACTGGGCTTATGCCTTTCGAAGAACGGTGATGTACTAATCAATATAGTTCAATACAGATATAATACCTATTACCTACCTACTATGGTTTTGGCCACCTCTTCGATTTTTACCATAAGCTCCGCAATGGCAAACCGAACATGCCGACCATCCATTGTGCCATCGGATTGCTTGTTAAAATTAAGTACTAAGAAATATTTGAAGGGTAATTTTAAATAGATAGATTTAATATTCTTCGTATAATCACATATTAATATCGACTGTTTAAAAGTTGGAAAGAAGCGTAAATTATAACAAAAAACAAAACTATATTGCTTGAAAAGGTGCTCAAATTGCAACCTTATTTCATACTTGTTAAGTACATACATTCACCGAGCCTATTTGCAGCGTTTCGAAATAAGTGCACTCGCTACGCGTACGTCATGATATCGTTAAAATCGTTCCTTTACTTTTCAACTCTGGCTTGCTACGGTAATAACTTTCACTTTAGCTATAGAGAGAAGCAATTTTAATCGAGCAGTATTATACAGCTCGACTGCCAATTCGTACTTTTTAGAAAGTTAAAAGACAGCAACATACCACGACGAACATTGTAATAGTGGCATGCTCATGGTAGCTTACGATACACGTGTCTTTTTCATAGTTTGCATTTTTTAAATGGGTAAGCGACCTTGTAAATAAAATGCTTTTCAATGAATTTATCCTTGACTTCTCGTTTCCTTCTTTCTTTTTCGTTTCGTTTCCTTCTTTCTTTCGATTCTTGACTTTCCTTCACTTCTAAAGATCAGAATACTAATAACTTTCAAATAGCCAAATAAAATAATCTTAATAGGCAATGGTTTGCTTACTCATACTGTTCGTCGTTCTCATTATTTAGAGTCCGTCTACTAATACCCCCACAATGAACGGTGCTGGAGACAAGGCTACAGTACTAGCGGCCGAGATAGCTAAGCAGGGAGACCTAGTCAGGGACCTTAAGGCTAAAAAGGCAGATAAGGTAAGCCATGTGTTATATATCAATTATTTATTTAAGAACGGCACAATTATTCTGCCATACATCTCGATCATCTGACATCTCACTTTTCACACAGTCCATTCATCTTCCTAACCTGTTTCCGTTCACATTCATGAAACAATTCAATTTTTAATAATTTGTTGTTATTTATATACCTTCTGTTATGTTCATCGAGTACTTAAGTAACTGATCCGGAATGAAGTACCAGTAGTACAAAAGTTTTCACACATGTCGTGGAATATTTTTTTACATTGGGATTAATTATTTTCGTTTCCATCAGGCCACCATAGACCAGGAAGTTAAGAAATTGCTGGAATTGAAGGCGCAATACCAAACGGAGACTGGTGCTGCGTATGCGCCGCCTTCACAGGTACGCGAAAACAAACCTAAGGAAAAGAAACCCAAGGAAGCCAAACCCAAGGAAGCCAAACCCAAGGAGGTCAAACCAAAGGAGCCGGTAAGTTTTAAGTGTACACTCTATAGGACTTTAGCAACAAAAGCCATGAATCGGATAGAAATATATCGGATAATATTTTTTATATAAACATTCGGATTTTGTAGAATCGGGCGTTGTCTTGTCGAAGCCCATTGCTATAACTGTGAAACTAGTGACTCGGTAGTGTGAAACTAGTAAAGTAATATCAACTCGTAGGTGATGCGACAGCTATTGCCGTTTGTACATTCATGTGCATTTTGCATGGGCAGCGCACAGCAAGTCTTGCAGGTGGAAGTTATGGATATCGTAGTTTCTTTAATTTTGATAAATTACTTACTTTTTAAATATATCTAAATGTATTTATCGAAAAAATATGAAAGCGTCATATAGTTGTTATCCTACCTGAGTGTTACCACTTAAATTTTTGGTCAGTATCAACTTTCATTAGATACAGGTTCTTATAATAATCAGCCATTATGAAAATCAACATAGCAGTTTTCATTTACCAGAAAATATATTCCTTTCTAGTCGAAATCCAAACTAGTGGGCTCACGCAACGGAGGAAAAAATACACTTTCATTCATAGATGGGTGAAAATTTTGTTGTTTCGAAAGACCTCATGTAATTATATCTGTGTTATTTTTAGTCTCCAAAACCTTCTAAAGAGGAATCATCATCAGGCCCCAAGAAGATTACCAGGTTAGGCTTGGAGGCAAGCAAAGATGTAGACTTGCCAGAGTGGTACACGCAGGTCATCACAAAATGTAAGTACCTATGATAGGCTTTATCTACTTAACCACAGAACACAGAAAGACGTTTTCTGTGTTTTGTGTAAATATTTTTTTGTACATAAGACTTCAGGTATTTAGATTATACTTGTATAATTAAAGAGTTTTGTATAACCTATGGTGCAACCGTTAAATTCTTTAACGATAGGATACGACATTTTAGAAAATATTTTTATCTGTAGAATTACCTAAAGACTTTTTATAGGGAAAAAAGCTTGATTTTATCATACTATTCCCTAGTCAGAAGTAAAATCGAATACTGCTCGGTGGTTTGGAGACCTTTCTACAATATTCACTTTATGGCAATTGAGAGAATTCAAAGGAAATTCACAAAACTATTGAGTATAAAGTTTGAGGACAGATTGAGTGAATTCAATATACTAATAACTCTTCATAAATTATTTCATTCTGTTCAATCATATGGTATTGAGTAAACACTTAGGATATTTTATTTAGAACTATACAGTTGTTACTTATACTACAAACATATTATAAAATAAAGTCCCCCGCCGTTTCTGTCTGTCTGTCTGTTCGCGATAGACTCGAAAAGTATTTGACGGATTTTCATGCGGTTTTCAACAATAGATAGAGCAATTATTGAGGAAGGTTTTAATGTATAGATAGTTTAGTTTAGGTTTTTACAAACTGACGATAAGACAACCATATTATTCAACATGTCGGAAAAAATAAAGCCGATTGGAAGCCTTCCTCCAAAACGCTGCCAAAAACTTTTGAGTTATAACAAAACAACGTATGGTGAAATTGTACGTCTTTAATACATCTACAGAAAAGTCCGCGGTGGTATGTGTCTATCTTCCAAGGATAACCTACAATAACCATTTTTTTGCCTTTACTAAAAATAGTAAAACAATGGGTTATTTATGAACCTATTTTTAACAATTCAGTATTAATCCTTATTCAAATAAATAAGTTAGATACGTTATGCATGTTATTTAAATCAAAATTGACTTTTACACTATACAAAAAATTATAATAATAATGGGGTACGAAATTTACCGGATCAGCTAGTTATATATATTTGTTAAAATATCGAAATTATATTCATTTATTTATTAGGTAACACATTACAAACTACTACTATATGACATTACTTTTGGTGGATAAACGACGATGTTGCTAACACTGACGTCAAATCCATAAACTTCATTGTTTATCATTCATTCATCGTTAACAAAGTACATAGCAAAGTAGTAAAAGAAACGAAAAACTGTCATAATATCGCTAATATGTCCTATCCTATGAAGAGAGTAATGGCTAGAGAATTAGGCGTTCGAACTCCTGATGTGCTGTTGATTGATCCTATTTTTTTTTTGCAGCCGAGATGATTGATTACTACGACATCTCCGGTTGTTACATCCTGCGGCCGTGGTCGTACTGCATATGGGATAGGATACGTAACTTCCTCTCTGGTCAATTCAAAAAGCTCGGCGTTAAAGATGGCTATTTTCCAATATTCGTATCAAAGGTAAGATCGTTGTTGTAAATTGATGCTTCACTTATTATGATGAATTCAATAACGTACTTATTTACCGTAATGAATAGTTCTTAAGCAGATTTTATACACATGATGTATGCTGAGTTTGTGCAGCTAAGGCCTATATCTTTAACTTATCTATTCTTTAACAGAGGCGTGACAGGGACGCATTAAATCGCCTTTTCCGTTTTAGTGGTGGGTTTTACACTAGACAACATGTAGAGACTCTTACCGTCATATAGTTGGAATACAACAATAGTGTTGCAGATTTGATTTTGTTACAATTTTTTTTTATTATAGAACAAACTTTTTGAATAAATTTTGAAAAGAAGCATTGAAAGAAAAGGGCCTCGTTAGGTGAACCCAAGGCCACCGTAATATTATCTAAAAAAAGCTATAATTATCAAATAGAAATAAAATATCTTTTAAGTCGCTTGACAAAATAAGAAATCAATATTATTTATACATTTAAGTACTAAGTTTTCCATGTTTGTAGGCCGTATTAGAACGCGAGAAGACTCATATAGCTGACTTCGCACCGGAAGTGGCGTGGGTTACACACTCTGGTTCGTCCGAGTTAGCTGAACACATCGCCATCCGTCCCACATCTGAGACAGCTATGTATCCCGCGTACGCACGATGGATACAGAGCCATCGGGACTTGCCTTACAAGCTGAACCAGTGGAATAACGTAGTGGTGCGTATACGTGTGACGAGTTTTGGACAGTGCTTAGGTTTTGGTAGAAAATGAAACGGCTGACTAGGCTTGATAAGTAGGTATATTTATGGATAAACAAAAAAAATCTTTTCTGGGTTTTATAATAGGTAGGACTTAGATACTTCGTATAGATATATGTTTATATGTTTCTTTACTGATTAAATATGTTTAAATTACATCACGCCGGACGAATTTTCACGTACAGTCAGAAAGTGGATATCGTAGAAATTACGAAAAATATATAATAAAAATAAATGATGTTAAAGATCAAAGACAAAAAGTTTAGATGCGGGTACCTAGGACAAAATAAACGGTGTGGTATGACACACCGTTACAACACGTATAAGCAGTGACAATTCGGTTTGAGGAAATAGAATTTAGTTCTTAGGTCTACTTATGGTATTTAATTGGATATCTTTAAGTTTGGAATTGGTTTCGTTTTCCTGGCTGCTTACTTGAAGTAATTTTTCAGTATGATTACTATGAATTAAATAAAACTGTTAGAGAAAGACAATCCTAATTTCGTACCGGTTATTTTGAGTATAAGGTCTCACAACCGTAATCTACCAAACAATGGCATACATTTAACAGATAAATGACATGGCTTTTGAATTTTGTATATAGTTGTTATACCCATATATGCAAAATATTTCCTCACGCAGCTTTTTCAGCGTAGAAGGCGCACGATTTTTTAAACTCCTATTTAACCTCCTTTGAGTTTTAATTTTATTGAAATCTTTACTTAAATAATCTTGACGTCATAACTACTGTGCATTTATTTAAGCTCGATCCGTCTAAAAGTTCAGTCTGTGCATTGATAGATCAGTAATTCATCTCTCTCTGCCTTCTATTTATATAGATAGATTTACATGTATTGTATATATTTAGCGATGGGAGTTCAAACAGCCGCAACCGTTCTTGCGCACGCGCGAGTTTCTCTGGCAAGAGGGACACACCGCCTTCAGAACACCGCAAGAAGCTGGTGAAGAAGTACTGCAGATATTAGGTCAGTGCAATATACTTATTTAAATGTCTTCTCTTAATATAAAAATAAAAAATAAGTAGGACATAATTTTCTTTTCGCACACGTTCTATCGTTATGACTTTACTTTGATTGCTCTTTTTATCTTAGTACATACACGGTCAAATTTAAATTGATCAATGACGTCAAAACTATAAAAACTGTTGAGCCAAGTAACCAAGACTTCTTCCTACTTCCCTCCTTCAAGGGATATGTGTGAAGATATATAATATATGAGATCAAAAGGTTTTTTTATGATCGACTAGTGGAATTTTACTAAATGTTGTGTCATACAAAACAGATCTGTACGCGCGTGTTTACGAAGAATTGCTAGCGATTCCAGTGATCAAGGGCCGGAAGACGGAGAAGGAGAAATTTGCTGGTGGCGACTATACCACCACCGTGGAGGCGTACATACCAGCCAGTGGACGCGGCATTCAGGTATTCATAAATTAATACAAAGAAGATGGGATTAACCAGAATCAGGGGTGTTGCTACCCGGTGGTCAGAATGGGAGAGGGGAGCAAAATTATTATGTAGAATGGACTAAATATGAAGTGTAGCTAAAGTCGAGAGCACATACAAGCTTTTTACTTGAAGTTCGAGCCTAACATAGACGGTAATTATAATAATAACGGTACATAGTCCAACTTGTAAAGACACGAGTTCTTGACTGTAGAATAAACAAAACCTGTAAATAATTTATTACATTTATTAGAAATGGAATAAAAATAATTTGGGAGTTTGAATGTATACCACCCTTCACCTGCTTTAACAATAGCATTGAGCAGAGCGTTGTTGAGTGTAGGAATAGAATTGGTAAGTTCATTCGAGTTTCGACGTACGGGAATGATCGATCTAATCTCTAGGGGCTCCTCCTGCCCCCCCTTGGTGACGCTCTTGATTAGTCTAATATATCGTTCTCGTTAGACATTTAATTGAATGTATAATAGTTTATATCCATACCGAGTTATCATTTATCAAATTAGCCAAGCACAAATCTATTTAAACATGACATGGGGTTTAGTTGATCATGAAATCGCTTAATAGCAGTCTATTAAATCATGGGAAATAAAATTCGATTACAAACACATTAATATACTATTTTATCAATTTTGCATTCACAATACTATATTAATATTTAATCATATATCAAAAATTTCTATAAATATATCACTGTGTGATTTATATACATGTTATATTATTATTTCATAGGGTGCCACCAGCCATCACCTAGGACAAAACTTCTCCAAAATGTTCGAGATAGTATATGACGACCCCGATACGCAGGAAAAGGCGTACGTCTATCAAAACTCCTGGGGTATTACTACGAGGACTATCGGTGAGACATCGGGAGGTCTAGGATAGGAAATATCAAGTTTCATCGAGCAGGCACAATGTTAATATACAATATTTGCCGTAACTTTTTTTTACTGAATAGTGTATTTTTTAGGTGTAATGGTGTTAGTTCACGGCGACGATCGCGGTTTAGTATTACCACCACGCGTGGCAGAGATCCAGGTGATAGTTGTTCCGTGTGGCATCACGGCCTCCAGTACAGCTGACGATAGGAAGAGCCTCATTGACTCGTGTAAGAACCTCGTGGATGAATTTCTCGCTGCCGGTATCCGCGCTGAAGGAGACTATAGAGACAACTATTCGCCCGGTTGGAAGTTCAACCATTGGGAACTAAAGGTAGTGTTATCCATGTTTTGTTTGTTATAAATTAAGCTAGAGAAAAATAATTTCAATTCCTTCATTTAATTAAAATAAACTACTCTGCGAAATTATTATTAGTGGTCTCTGTAACTAGATGTTGTGGAAGTATAACAATGTTAATAGACACTTTTATAGATAAAATTGCCCTATAATACGTGTAGTAACACACACCAGGGACTCTGTTCAACCTAAACCTTAGTATTGTCTTAAAGATTTTCAAATAATTTAAATGAAACTATTTCTTTGTAGGATTCTTTTCTCCTATTTTGGTATTTCTAAATCAGATTTCCATCCATAAAAAAAATCTGTGCACTGTGAATATTTTTGTTTTCTTTACGTAGGGTGTGCCAATTCGTGTAGAGTTGGGCCCCAAGGACATGGCACGTGGCGAGATCGTAGCAGTTAGGCGGTTGACAGGTGATAAGCTTACGTTGAAACGGACGCAAGCTCCTGGTGAACTCGCCGCCTTACTAGAGAAAACACACGATGAAATGTTTGCCAAGTAAGAGCATTTACTTGTTATTTTTACATGATTAAGATTAAGAATAGTGAACCTCGTTGATTTAATAAATTCTCTGAGCACAAGCTTGCCATATAGTTGTGTAAAGTCAGCCATATATGCTCAGGCATGCCGAAGCATGTATGCCACACAACTGTGCAGGTTTTTACGACATACATGCTCTGGTTTATCTGTATAGGTGACTTGTGCAGGTGTACCTGAGCGTATATAGCTGGCTTTACTTTTCAAATTGATTATATGGTTTTGTTCAAAGTCAACTACTGGTATATTCTTATTCCAAATTATATTCAGAAATGTCCGCCGGATATGGGTCGGAGCGCTGGTGACCCGTGTAACGGCTTTTGTAAAAATTACCTATTTCAGGCACCAGCTCTTCACAGTAAGGATTTATACATGAATGATTGAAATTCCTATAATGAATTTTAAAAAAAAACCTATTGTGTAGAGAAAATAAATGAATTTATTATTTATTATATGCAGTGCCATTATTGTTGAATTTCGGAATTATTTTTTTATTCCTAATGTCATGAATTTATCAGTTTGTAACAAATTGCCAGTGGAGTTAATGCATTGGCAGTGGCAGTTACCCATTATCCAACCCCATAATAGTGGGACAAGGAATGTCTAGAAAATGAATGAATAAATCAACAGATATTATGAATGGAATTCCTGGCTACCTTTGTTGACTAAGACTAAGCAGGAGAAACCTTTTGTGGGTGTGATTTGTCAGTTTTCTTTTAACAAGTTCACTAATGACTGTGCTATAAATTTGGATATTCGTTAATTTTGATAGTCTAAGGATGCTGTGCAAGTTGTAACTCAAACTACTTGTTTTTATAATACAATTTTTACAATATATAAATTGTTTTTATAGAAATACTTATTTCGTTTATTAACTTCTGTCTCTCAATTATCTATAACAGAGCAACAAAGGATCGTGATGAAAGATTATCAATTCACACAAAATGGAGTGATTTCACTGAGGCTTTGGAAAAGAAACATATTCTTATGGCACCCTTCTGTGGAGAAATATCATGTGAAGACAACATCAAAAAAGATAGTGCAAGGTTTGTGCTTATAAAAAGTATAATAATTATAACATTTTTATAAATTTTGTTAATAAATAAAACATTATGTCTTAATTATCATTGTATTTTTTTACAGAAATGATGATGATGCAACTAGTGATGTGAAAGCGCCTGCCATGGGTGCTAAGTCTTTGTGTATACCATTTGAACCTCCACGTCAAATTTCTGATGCTGATGTGTGCATCCATCCAGCTTGCAAGAGTAAACCGAAATTTATAACTCTTTTTGGTCGTAGTTATTAAATAAATACTGACTGAAAAGACATTTGATATGAATAAATAATTTATTGTTTCAAAAACTATTATTGCTTTATTATCTATTTCATTATGATTACAGGTGTTTTCATTCCATGTTCTGTATACTTTCTTCGAGCAATCTTATCCGCTCTTTTTTTTCATTTAACAATTGTACAAATTTTCCATACAGATTACTTTCTAAAGCTATCTTCTCATTTACAAATTCTTGTAATTCACTTTTACACTTCTCAACTTTATCATTAAGGGCTGTATTATTTCTGTTATATATTTCTAGAAGGTCTTTTAATTCATTATTCTCATTTAGCAAATGGTCTAATAATTTGTCTTTTGATTCAATCTCATTGTCGAGGTGGAGATCTACAAAACCATAAGGCATCTCTGTTGAATCATCAAAAATTTTTGTCCAAGTAAATTTTGCAGTGCTTTGTCCAGGCACATGAACAAAGTTAAACACAAAATCGCTACATTTGCCCATAAGTCCATTTTTAACATTATTTTTGTATTCTTCTTCTGGTTCATCAATCAAACTTGCAAATTCTGAAGAAAACTGGCCAGACCAACTGTTATTATTACTATCATACAATGTGACATTAAATAAACAATCTTTAGATTTTTCCCAACAAAGTTTTAGGTATACGTTTTCTCCTTTTATGAGAAGTTTAGTAACAGAAATGTCATTATTGATGCCTTTATCCATTTTTGAATTTTAAAACAGGATTCTTGACAATAAATAGAGGCCTTGTACTCAACACTATGTTAAGTTTAATAGAAGTCTCATGCTTGTTCTGGCATCGTGTAACTTTTTGTAAGCCCATTTACAATGAAATCGAATCCAATTTTACATTACGTATTAATTTCTTTTACTTTAGGGATTGGTCATAGCATTTAGGTTAGATTTTTAATGTCGTACAGACTTAAAAATAGGTTCCTTTTTTGATCGGAGGGCAAAACCAAAATTTTATATAGATGATAAAGTATATTATTTTAATCCAAATTGTAAATTATTCAACTAGCATAGGGATGTTCAAATATCGTCGATATATCGAAAGTACTCGATGTTTCCATACGATATATCGGATTGTTTCGATGTTTTGAAAAATATTTTTCTATTCGATATATAAAAGAAAGAAAGAAAGAAAGAAAAAGTTTTTATTGGCCTTTAAATACATAAAACAGCACAACACGTGCAACATTATTAAAAGAAAGAAAGAAAAAAAAAAAAACACCACAAATATATATTGGGTGGCCAACCAGGAGGCTCTCTCAGTGATATCTTTTGTGACAGTAAACATCACAAAAGCACTGATATTCTGAGAGCCCCTGTCGTGGAGTGCCGTACTACTTATATTTACAACTTATATATGCTTATTAAACCATAAGACTGCATAGATTCATTTGCCTTAAAATAAAGTCATTAATAGGTATTAAAAATAAAAAAAGGGGAAAAAAATAAGTAAATAAACAAAGTAGTCCTCTATACAGTCTCTATGGTATATCTATACGCAATCCATACTTTATGGTGCAAACAAAATGTCACTAGATCGCGAGGCATCCCTAATCTGTGCTCCCTACTGGTCTGTGAATTGCGTGTAAACCTTCACGACACTATGGTGTTAGCCACGTTTACAATTTTGTTTTTATGCCACATAAACCGAAGAGAACACATGTTGACGCGGCAAGCACACGTGGCATTCAGAATTGAGTGGCAACCGCAAACAAATTAATCCAATTATCCTATATACAATATGAATCTTATATATCGAATATCGATACATTTATAACACAATATCGAATCGATTAAATAACGTTGACAGCTGACTTATGATGACAATAAAAGCTAAAGTAAATTTTAACATTACAACATTTTCACTTTGATTTTTATAACATGACATCAAATTTTCAGACGTCCTAGGGTGAGTTGTACTCGGTAGCTAAGTCTTGCCAAGCCAATTGCTAATCTTTTGTTGTAGCCCCATCTGTTTTCTTATTTTCTATAATAAGATATTTCTCCACTTATTTTAAAAGGTGCATTTTTCCAGCAATTGTGAAATTAGGTGCCCTGTATCTTTTCATTATTTTAGTTCGGCTGTACAAACGGTTTATTGGTATTTTTGAGTTATTAATAAACAGTTTTCTCTACTTTATGAATAACTATGAATGATGAAATGGCGCGGCGACTTCAAAAAAATGTATGTTGATATAGAGTTTTGATAAAAACGATGATGACGTTTGTTTTTCTAAACTGATTTTATGGCGCCGGACTCTAGTCTTTTCATCAAAAACGAAACATAAGGAATGAATGGTGAATGAATAATATGCTATATCTCGGTTTAGTTAAACTGGTCATGATTTTAGGATCTGCAAGATAACTTAGTTAGATTTAAGTTAAGTCGAGTTTAAGGCTAAGTCTGGATTTAATTAAATCGAGATTTTGGAAATTTTACTGCAAGTGGGCCTAAAAAAGGAAAACATTGAAATTTTCAAAAAAATACTTGATATTTAAAAAATATCGATGTTTTTATACGATATATCGAAAAAAATCGATGTCAGTTACCGATATTTTATATCGAGTATTTATATCGATATATTTTTTAAGTGGACACCCCTAAACTAGCAGCCGGTGTTTTTCTTCTTTTTTAATTCATGGCTTATTTGCTAGCGGTAAGGCGTATTTATCATAACAGGTAAAAAGAACAAGTATTTCCCTACGGAACATAACAACTGTTATTCGTAACAAAAATACCTGTTATAGAAAATACTACACGCGAGAACAGTACTATGCGTAAAATATCGTAACAGCACAATCCACTGTTATTGGTCTGCGGCTGTTATCCCTGTGTTCCTGTTCCTAGCTAGAACAGTTCCCCTCTCATTCTTACCTATGAAGTAAAAAAGAGAGCCACCTAGTACTTTCTTCTAAATATCAGGAAATTAAAGTTGACCCCAAATCATAGGCGTCATAAGCCCACTTGTGTCACCTTAATTTTGGTTCGTCGTATCAACTAATGTTATTCGTCTATTTCTCTCTCATTCTCTCATACAGGTCATAAGGCAGTAAAAAGAGATGGTGACTAGTATTTTATAATACAAGAAATTTGTATTGACACTTCTTTATTCCATGATACATAAAGTAGATAGACTCCTAAAATTTGTTGTATAATTTAGGTGTAGGAATACGTTCGGATACATTACACATACACTTTTGTTATTGAAACAAACACATGGAAAAAAAATTGAATAGTCATCAAATTATTTGATGAACGTTGAATTGTTTTCATTCAAATACGATCATTTTAAACATATTTATACAAAAATAAATCCAATAATGCCTGGTTTTAAAATGGAAAATTGATTAAGCAAGTATATTTAATTATTGTACAAGTATCCGAACACGGCGTCTGCTGTCATCGATCAATGTATTACTTGGGATTTTAGACTTTATTCTGATAGCAGCTAAGGCTTTTTAAACAAATGATAAGAAAGTTTACTTCTTTGACCTGATTGGTAGTTATGATTGAAGCGTAATTATCAAGCTTATGTTGGTACAAATAAAGAGCATAGTTGCTTGATAATGATTAGTCGTATGATTAGTTATGTTATATAATGATTAGTCGCAGCTGGGTACCTAATGAATGACAGGCGAACAGGCCTCGGGGTCAGCAAATTCCAACACCTGCTTTTTCTGCACCAGAATTTGTAAATATTAGATAAGTTAAAACTTGTAAATATGTACATATTCTACTGTACATATCAAATCATGTACATACAATCAATTCAAAACCGGTAATGAGGAAGTATTTAAAAAATAAAGAAACTACAAAAATTTATGTCACTAGATGGCAGCACAAATTGTTGGATCTAAACGTCAATAGGGTATTTGACACTATCGAAAATAAGTTGCATTTTGGGGTCATCCTGATAGATAATAATCTAATAAAGCTTATTTCTTAATATCCGTAAACGTAACGTAAAGAAAATGCAATATTTTTAGGAATTTATTCAACGACGCAAACGTCCTATAATTGGTCGTCACCACAACCAATCACGATTCTGTTTACTGGCCTGTGACGTCATCAGCTGTCATGTCAAAGTAGTGATAGAAAGATACATAAAATATCGATGCCTGTAGGTATCGAGTACTTTATAGTAATTTACTGATAATAGAATACTTTGCCGCTTCTGCTGATAAGAACTGCCAAAAAGAAATACAGAAAGAAAGAATCATTTACTAAGATTGTTAAAAATCCAAGAAATAGGGAAAACGCCTTGAAAATAATTCAAAATTACAAAGTGGATTTTGATGATATATATTGTTCTCCAAGTTAAAAACTAATAAAAGATATTATCGGGATCGGAAGCCCTATGTGCAAGTGTACCGCCATGACTTCTTTAACTAAACATTAATTTTATGTCTGCGGTTCTCGGACTAAAAGAAAATTAGTGCAAATAATAAACTTACTCTACCCTTGTACAAATGTAAGCAAAGACTTCGTCAGTGGTTACTAGATCTATAAATCTATCAATTTATAGATAGAAAACAATACTTAAATATTGTCTGTATAAGATGGTAGGTGAAAGTAGCTTTACATTTGATTTCGAAATAACGTATCGATTGTCGATGTTTTCCATATTTGTCTACAATAGCAATATAAACTGGGTGATAGACGTACAAAGAACTTTAAGTACGCGATTTTTAAGATCACCAACTTACTCGGCACGACGGCGGGGACACACGAGAAGATGGTTCACCTCACACTGTTTTATGATGTCGTTGACGGAAGAAGCTTTGTGTTATTTAGGATTTATATCATATTACATTTTAAAAACGAAATCAAAAAGTGTGGGTAAGGAATTGGTTAACGAAAAGAGAACGTTTATCACATATGAATTTAGCAAGAGAGTTAAGTGTTGAGAAGGAAATTTCCATAATTAAAAATAAATAAATAATTAAAATGAATTAAATAAGATCAAAATAAGAAGGGTTACACCTCCACTGACTAACTGACCGAGACAAACTATAAGTAAAATTTCAATACGTTTGAATTGCCGGAAAACTTGCGCGGCAATTTTAAAGTACGTGTATTTAAGGTGACACACGAGCGAAAAAGGTCGTCGAGCCACTGGTTCGCGTATTTACTCGCACGCCTATCACCCAGTTTAAAAACGCTAATAAGTATCCTCAGACGTGTTCATACCTAAGACATTGAATGATAAGCATCTTTAATTTTTGATGCTGTTGTTGTTTACATGTTTGCTTAGTATCAAACTCGAAACGAATGATACACATTGATATTGTTATATAAATGGAACGGAATCTCGTATTTATTCATAGAATGCCCTGCCCATAACTTATAACAACTATTGTTGATATATGACATACTTCAAATCGATAAAACAGCGTTATACCAGTTTATGTTATATATTCTCTAGAATACAAATAATATTTTATTTTATATGAATTTGTGATGGATACTAACTGATTAAAGTGTGGCTAAGAGTAAAAGTAAAAATCGTAAAGTCATGGCCGTTAAATATATAACTTAAAAACATGCTGTTGCTGTTACTATTATTGATTAAAGGCAACGAGATTATATTTTATATTATTAGGGGTATATTTCTTCTTGTATGTACGAAAGTAACAATTTATGAAAATAATGTGTTTTATTTGTTTAAGATGAGCTCGATGGCACACTGGTT